AGATCGATTTTCGTGCTCGAAGAAATGGGATAAAGCAGGTTGCGAGTTTCTACAGGCAAGTTTCACCGGCTAGAGAATAATCCGTTGCATTAGATGATATTCGAGGAAGGTGGTCGGGGGTAAGGTAAAGCGGAAATGCGATCGAGCGTACGTATGTGTACGCGCGGTACACGTAAACGAGAAGATATACGAGACGGTCCTGTTAAGGCACGCGCGTTCGATCGCCGCCAGGCGCAACCTGTTGCATCTCTGCTTGATGATGCGTTGTGCGCACCCGCGAACGAACGAACGAACGAGAGAGATCTCGCGCAGAAAGACGTACGGTAATGTCGTGAACTTCAGCAATACGTCCGGCCGGTGCGGAGAAGCAAGTGCAGTTATGTTGCACTGACCGCTAGGAGCTGGGGAACCATCGCAGGACCATCGTTGGGCCTCTGTTGCCATGCAACGCGACCGTCTGGCCAAAACAGTGAGAACGACCTTTCGTCCGCACTTTCCTTCTATCGAATCGGCATTATTTAACGAAATATCTCTATGCTTTGCTACGTGATCGTTTGCACGTTACTTGAAAAATTTCATCGGTAACTTCATCGGTCGCGACGAGTAGAAAATATGCACGTGAAAATTTGCTAAATTCTCGCTCCATTGATTTATGACAACGTTGATCGACGACACCCGATCGACCCCCTTAATTAAATTCGATTTGCCCGTTCGATTTACATGTCGTATTCCGCGCAAACGGTAAAGGTTAATAACTGTTCTTAGAACAAATGTATGTCGAGGTTTCGTTCTATATCGTCGCGAATAGGAACGCGAATTGGAGAATTAAACGAGAGATTCGCGTAATTGCAACGAACGCCACGTAATACTATTGAAACGTGAAAATTATTGACAAAAATATTATTACATCGATAAAACATGACAATATATACATATGTTCGTTGGCACAAATACGATATTATCTATCGCAACGCACGAAGAGAATCGAATTATATCCCACTAGTAAAGGTAAATCGTCCTTTATTATTTGCCAGGACCGTTAGGAGCAACATTATTCTTGTTCCTATCGCGAACGATCATATTGTTCTTGGGCATTATTCGTTCTCACGTAGCCGATACGATCGCATAACTTGTAAAAAGAGTACCGTGCAATATTCCTTACGATTAATAAAATTCGACATGAACGACACTTTGCATTGACGTACAATCTGCTTTCTTCTCGTCTAAAGTCTCTTGGAATGGACAGAAGTGGACTGATACGTGGACGCATGCTCATTTCACGGAGAATGCAAAGAGGATAGAGAGAGAAAGAGAGAGAAAGAGAGACAGGACGAGCTGCGGATAGGCACGGTGAAAGTATGTAGACGAAATTTGCATGCGCCATGAGGAAGCTCTATGTATCATATAAAAATAAAAAGTCGAAAAGATCGTTACGTATGACGTTAGTGCATACACCCAGACGGTTGAAAATCATTACGCGCGGACGTCGATTTAATTCTTGGGCACTCGTCCGTTCGCTCATCGATTTCATAACCGAGAACATTAAATACGAAAGAGCGTTTCGACTTCCGTGAGATAGAGACGGTTATATAGAGGCATCTTATCGCGTACGATCTCTTACGGAATTGCGTTCCGATTTTCATTCGAACGAAAGGAAATAACGAGGGAATACGTAAGAGTGGAATATTTATCAAGAGAAATGGTGGGATTTTGCGTGAGCGCGAGCGTGAACAAACGCCAAAGTAACTCGCGGTGGGTTTGTTCATTGGAAATCGAGCGAAAGAAAGGTATTGCTCAAGGCCGTTAACGAGATCGCTAATCGGTCTTGGGTACGTACACGCATTTGCATTGTAAACCGAGCCTGCGATGATAAAAGGATAAAGCAAAACGATAAAGAAGGTCGGAAGAATAAATGAAATCTCCTCAAGGTACCATCGATCTCGTTCCTCCTTTGGCAGCTCCTCGTCTCTTGCTCCCACCAATAACGCCTTTCCTTTCCATACGAGCGCGAACGCATTACGATTGATTCTGCGTTCTCTTAAAACTTCTCTCCTCGCTCTTTTTCACGATTCACTTTCCCGAGCTCGAGGTCGAGGTCGAGGTCGAGCTCAAAGCTCGTCTAGAACGACGTCGTAAACACGATAAACGGATCAATTTTCGTCGGGTAAGTAAACGAAAAAAAAAAAAAAGAAAAAACTGGAAAATAGAAAAAGGAGGAACGTTGACTTCGGCGAGCACAAAATCGCAAGGAGAACGATCTCGAAGGAGCGTGCTCGTGCTCTTGCTCGCGCTCGACTAACTATTGACCGTTCGCTAACTATCTGACTCTACGGAAATAATAATAAAATAAGCCAGTAGTTCTCTCGCGAACCGGAGAATGTGCCAATGGTGAACGTGACAAAAGGATTTTCTATCACCATTTCTTTCTTCTCTTGTCTTTTGCAAGATTCTCCAATTTTTCACGTGAGAAATATCGAAATCGAAAGAATCTGGAACGTGCTTGCGAAATTTTCGGCATGATTACTTTTTTTCTAAAGGAAAAGAAGAAAGGTTTAAATTACATAAGATATATCTTGATTTACGAAGTCATGCGCATTTATATATATATATGTGTCTGCGTGTCTGTGTGTGTATATACATAATGTGTGTATATATATTATTATTATTATTATTATTATTATTATTATTATTATTATTATTATTATTGTTATTATTATTATTATTATTATTATTATTATTATTATTATTATTATTATTATTATTATTATTATTATTATTATTATTATTACTATTATATCGTTATATCTATCGCCGCAAGTACAGCAGTTATAAAACATTGTCGTGTTCATGGCGCGTTAACGACACAGAAAGGGAAAGAACGATGTGTGTACGCACGTGTATGTATGTGTGTGTGTGTGTGAGAGAAAGAGAGACGTACAAATGTCTTAAAAATTTTAGAGTAAAGATCGCGTATCAAAAAGGGCTACGGCGAGGGTTCGAACTTACTTCTAATTCAGACTGCGAAGGTATACGAAAATCGTGCAGTCATTGATATCACGGTGCCGAGACCGATCGGTCTTATTTTTCTTGTTTCCTTTGTAAAAAGGCTGAGAGAGAGAGAGAGAGAGAGAGAGAGAGAGAGAGAGAGAGAGAGAAATGCTCACGATTAAAAACTCAATGTTTCAATTTATTGTAATTATACGAATAAACAAATTATTCAATTCGTTATTTGTGTGTATGAAGCAATTTTTTTTCTCTTTTTCTCCCTCTCTGTTTTGATCGTATCGCTATCTAGTGTGCAATAATTGATAAATAGTAATAATTAACAATAAGTTTTAATCGTTTTTCGATGACATCTCTATCTATAGGGCGCGCTCCTAAGTACAGTGGCCCTTTGAAAGAAAAAAAAGAGAAAAGAAAAAGTATCACCGAGGTGGTGCATTAACTTTTTCTACGATGGCTTATCAATTATCATCTAAAGCCAACGAGTTATTCTTCGTACTACTTGTTACGTCGACCGACGAACGGGGTTACGTGGGATGCTTTTTTGGCTTCGTTGAAATAACACGAGTCGACGACGACTATTACTCGTACGACATATGACTCGACTTGTCGGTCTTTCTTATAATAATAAAATCATGAGTTACCTTTATCTTCGAGGGATTACCAAATGGTCATTTGTGATTAATCAGGCTACTTATATGATATATATAATAATAATAATAATAATAACGTATATATGTATATATGTGTGTATATAAATTATAAAATATCGGCTTTCCTTACGACACTTAAATAGAGACTTTCCTTCGGGATAAGGATGCGTGCTTCTTCCTTTTTTGTTTTCCCGTTTGTAGATACGCGTGCAACGATGGTCTTTCGTAAAAAAAAAACTATCGTTCGAGGATGAAAAATGATATAATGTATATATAAAAAGAAGAATGTTTGCTCAAGTTATTATTTCTCACGCGAAAGGGAGTTAATACGGCTTATCACAACGGCTTTCTTTAGTAGAGTTCGTCGAACGCGCATCAACGACGTACGCGTATAAAAATTACACATTATCTACGTTTATAAATCACTATGATTATATTACTATAATATTATTATGATATAATTATTACTATTATCGTTATTATCGGTGAACGACCGATTTAAAGTTTAAGAATAATCAACGTCTTGATTCGTGAGTAACGTGGGTTGCGTTTCGATAAAAAAATTAGGAACGTGGTGTTTCTTCTCGTTAGTCTTATTACGTTCACCGTTCTTACATTTTATTATTGTTCGTTTTTTATTTCATTTTATAATCTCGCTATCCTTTCGAAGCTACTGACGGCGTGAAAACGAAGGAAAGTTTGCCGCTCGTTCTCGAGTAGAAAATTATTCCCTGAACGAGCACGGAAACGTTACGAAATATTCCTCTCGATATTGAAATGCCTTTTTTCTATTTTACCGCCAAGACATCGACGAAACCGAGCGAGAACAATAATTAAAATCGCAAAGAGAAATGCTATAGCGGTAGGCCCTGCGCACACGTCACACAGAAAAATGGGGATAGAAAAAATACATTATCTTCGTATCAAAATTACGTATCAACGAATAAACAAATTTGTCTACACGCGAAGGAATCAAACGAGCTTATCGTATTACATGCAGTCTCCTCGCTTCGCGCTTAAATCAGCGCGCATATTAAACATATTGGCGCGTAAAAAACTGATTGTCTTGTAAAATACTTGATCGCGTTCATTTCTTTCTTTTTTTCCTTTTCTTTTTCTTCCCAGGTATGATATTAAAATAAAATGACTGAACGGGCATCTTTGTGTGTAAAATAAAATGTACAATTTTATATATATGTATATATATGTATATATATGTATATATATATATATATATATATATATATATATATATATATGTATATATATGCATATATATATATATATACATATATATATGTATATATGTATATATGTATATATGTATATATATATATATGTATATATGTATATATATAGAGAGAGAGAGAGAAAGAAATAGAGAGAAATAGAGAAAGAGAGGGAGAGAGACTATACGCCCCTCAAAGCGTAATATGCTACAAATTTTCCTATACTTATCCGTTACGTAAAGTTTAATTAATGGCCGAGCGCAGACTTTCCTTATAAAACTTTCGCTCCTATTATTAAACCTTGGCAAAACGGAAGCTAGAAAATACATCGAATATATATATATATATATATATATATATATATATATTTGGTGTGTGTGTGTGTGTGTGTATGTGTGTTCAGCTTTATCATCTAAATAATAATGATAAACCGACTATTTGAGGAGATTACTTATTGTGCAAAGTATATCACATCGTATCGAGATACAATAAAAAATGCAAATTACTCTGCGAAAAAATAATAGGATAAATTAAATAAGCGATTAAACGTTTCTTTGAAACACGTTGACACGAATTTTTGGAAAATTCGATCGGCCGTCACGCAAAAAACGACACTCAACGCAATAATAGAGTTGGAAAAGCGTATCGCCTTGAAATACTATATTTTTGTATCGCTATATAAAAGAAAAAGCCCTAACAAAATAAATAAAAATCTCGCGAATCTCAATTATCTGTAGAAAAAAGAAAAACAAAAGCGTATAGAAGTTTTGTATCTCGAGAACTAAACCGCAGCAGTGTCATCGGTATTTCGTAGCAAGGCGGCCGCTTTAACGACGTCCCCGCCGCACTGGCTGAGCATCAGCTTGCAATCCTCGAGGCCAACAAAATTGTTTTCCCTTTTCAACAAGCCTTGAAGACGTTCGAGCTTTATCGCCGTCAAGACGTCCCAGCCGGTTACATTCAAGGCCGCTATGCATGACTCGGGAGTCGATTGATCGTGCAAAACCTTTAACATAATTCTCACTTCGTCGGACTGTTCCCCGTTACGCGGGCCACGAGTTCTGCGAGCGTTCGGGCCGTCGCAAGCAAACTCTAAAAGATCCTCACAGGAAACATGATCAGATTGTCGCGACAGGTCGCTGCTACGGGTGACTACCAATTTATCCGTTTCTTCACGATCGTACGACTTTGTATTGGACGTAAGGTAGTTTTCGTTGTTACAGCAACTAAGATCCTTGCGATTCGTGTTGTCCGATCCAGAGGATTTCGCCGTATTTACGTTGTACTGCGTAATCGTACCGGTGGTAGCGATCACGTTGGATTCCTCCGCAAAGGGCCGTTCTATCTGAAGCGTACAGTTGAAAGATCTTTTTTGATGGTTCGACGACGATCCTCCTCCTCTTGCGCTCGTTGGCTGGGACCTTGCGATCAAAGCTACGCTCGGAGATTCATTCTTATTGGAAAGACTCGAGTCTTCCGATCTGCTCGAGCTGGATGTAGTGGAGTTCCTACTGGGCAGTCCTGTCTCGGTCTCTTCCTCGAGGGATTTCGAAGCGATGCTTTTTTGGGAATTTTTCGACTCCACGCTGATCTTTCTTCTGAAGCGAACGTCAATGGAATCGTTTGTTTCCTCCGATACGTTTTCAGGACAGGATCCTGTATCCTCGGCATCGATTAGATTGTCAGAAAACTCGAGTAGATCTTCCGAAATGACGCTGCAACGATGCATCTTGCTTTCATCCATGGGCAAAGAATCCAGAGCGGCTAGCTCCGATTCGATGCGCTGCTCGAATTCTTCTGGGCTGGAAGAAGATATGAAGAAGATTAGAATGAAGAGGGTGGACGTTAGCGAGCTGGCCCTACCTACCTGTTAGTTGAAACTTCCGGAGAATAACTCTCCTGCAGGGTGGAAGTACTGGTGGTCGGTGAATTCGCATATTGGAGAAGAAAATTACCATCGACTTGATCTTCTAGAGCAGGTGGCGTCGTAACGGCCATTTTGGCAAGGGTCCTCGTCACTCCTCCACCTGGTATGATCAACGGATGCTTTCTTTGATGTCTCGGCAAACTCGATTTCGGTTGTAACGTTTTCGAGCGATCTCGCGGCGGCAATGGTATCGGATTTTCGTCGACGTTACTCTGATTCTGATTGTTCTCGATCTCCAAAGCGGAATGATGCCTCTCCAAGCTTCGAGTTTGAGGTAAGGGAGGTGGCAGATGAGGGGGTGGCGGTGCTCGAATCTTTGGCAAGGTTTTTGCTCCACCGTGATGCATATCCACAAATTGAAAAGCGTGTTCCGAAGTTGCGTCCTCCGGATGGGAAATACTGTGACCAAGGGTCGCGTGTTTATTACCACGAACTCTTGGTCTCACCACAGGCAATCCCGAACGCAACATACGCAGAGGATTCGTGTCTTGTGCGCTTTCGATCGCTGGTGTTTCGACCAAGCTGTTGTACACCTCCTTGGCTTCCTCCGACAACGTCGCCTAAACAAGTTGCGGGATAGGGATAGATTTGGGAAGAGAGAAGAAAAACGAAAATTAAAAATAAAAATCATAAATGAGGAGAACTATGATAGAAGAAGAAGAATAAGAAGAAGAAGAAGAAGAAGAAGAAGAACGAACGAACGAACGAACGAACGAACGAATGAACGAAATCTATATCTCTGTCAACGAATCGTTGCCAACGGAAAGAATACGGAGGGAGACTCTTGAAACCGAACCGAAAGATGTTTTAACGTGTGCGTGTTATAAAATATTTTGTGCAGCGAAACGAATGCAATTGCTGCGTCGTGTAAAGGTGCGTACGACAAAATGCGCAAAGATACAAAAAAGGATTCGAATTCGTGCATCGTCGAGTGTTATCGCAAACCATCGTTCCTCGATAATACGGTCGAATGCGCGTAAGACCTAAGATCTCGTCGTATGGTATAAAAAAGTATTAATAAACTCTCGTCGAAGCCATAATTATTATTCGGTTAATATCGTTTAAATTCGACGATCGAATGAGATGAAAGAGAAGAACATGCAAGCATGCTATATACTCTCTACGCATAGGTATGTGTATATGTGTATATCTATGTATGGGATGATTCCTTCCCGAGGAAGGTTCTTGCGGCTTTCATCGTGCAAATCGATCTTTCGTGAAACACCTCTAGCATTTTAAGGAGCCGGAGAGGGAGGAAAGGTCAATATGTCATTGGTAAATTCCGGATACTCCGAACTCGTGTCTGAGTCCAGATCGGAATTACTCGTGAAGGTCAAGCTAGAGCTCGGGGCGCTTTCAGGCCAGGAGAGTAAGTTGTTCCTAGAAGAGAAGGGTGGAGAGAGGGAATTTAGGAAGCTCGTAGAAGGTGGCGGTGACTTTCCACAGAGTTCCACCGAGGAAAATCCTCTAGCCGAATCTGGATGGAGAAATTGGCCCTTGTTCTTAAAGTTCAATCTCAAACTGTGAGGGACCTTTTTGCTACGGCGCTTATAACGCAATCGACTTCTTATGTCCGTCTCCGAATGAGAAACCGAGTCCGAGTCCTCGCTGGAATCGTTTCTCGGATGGAACGACCTGCGTACGTTCTTTAACGGTGGCTTTCGATTTTCCGACAGAGACGACGTTCTGTGCCGATATACGTTCGTCGTATTGCTAATCGATTGTTTATCTAGAAGCAGCTGCTCGGACTTTGGCAGCTCCTTCTTTCTTGTTGTCTCGTTTTGATACAATTTCGGTGGTTCCAATATATGCTGGTGTATGCTAGGGCTCGTAGGCGGATTCGTTTTTTGCGTTATATTCAACTTAACGGAGCTCGATTGTTGTTGTTGTTGGCTCTGCAAGGGTATGTTCAAGTCCAGATGCTTCGGTTTCTGAAGCGGAACGTTCAAGTTACGAAAATTTACTTGAGACTGACTCGGCAAGTCCAACTTTCTTATATTAGGTAAAATCGCTTTATTCGACATCGAGTTCTTTCCGAGCTGCATCATATTTTGCGTCAGTTTACCCAGTCCTAGGCCCAAACCTTGACCCTTCTTCGAGTCCAAATAACTTTTAACGCTCTCCAAGCCGGACACCTCCCGTTGATACTTTTCCGCCAATATTTTGCTACTTAATTCGACTTGACTGTTGGCTTCGGCGTCGGACTTTCGCCTAAGACGTTGAAAATTCACTCGTAAACTTTCCGAACTGCTGTATATCGGTGATTCCTTTTTATCCGACTCAGCAATGAACAAGGGATTGTTCGATATTACGAAAGGGAAGGAATCGAAACCATTTTGATTCTGTTCGATCTTACGAAAGCTTTGAATATTTATTCTTACCGCCTCAACATTTCCTCTCGTCGTACTATTATCGGACGTACCAGTTTGTAAATTCGTTTTTATGCTATCAGACGAACCATAGACGATGCTCTTAGTTTCTTGACCGGGATGATTCGATCTAGGTACAAAAGCGACCTTCGACGCTCTTGCTTTCGCTATGTCGATCTTCTTCGTAAATTCCGTTATATTTATTTTGGAGGAATCACTGAAGGAGCTCGACAATTTCGGTCTCGTTCCGACATCGACATTACTTATCTTCTCTCTCTGAGACTCGTATTTAATTGGTTTGCTGCGAGAGGTGGTATCGAGATTTGCCGTTTTCTCCTTCAACAAGTCGTAATTTGGCGTTTCTTCGCGGGCCATCTCGAAATTCGTCGAACTCGTTTTTTTATCTTGCAATGTTTGCTCGCAATTATCAATTTTGTTTTGATAGAGGTGTTGACCAGTCCTACTACTGCCAATCAAGGAGCTTTGCTCTTGGATATTGCTCACGTACGAGGATCTAACAGAGTGCTCCAAGTTATTCATTTTATCAAATTTTTCAGATTTTTCCTCGGTAAAACGCAAAGCTTTATCGACGGAACAACTCAAACCGCTGCTGTCTTCGTCAAAATATTTCGGTTGCTCGAAATAGCGATCGACGTAACTGGTCGATATACGTTTGGATTCCCTTGGATAATCAAGATTAGGATTATCCATTTTGAAGGACACTGTTCCGTTGTGTTGTTTAAGATTATGATTTGGATTTATATCGATCGCATTTTCGCAATTGTACCCACTCTTCCTGTTTCCATGTTCGAGGAATTCGCTCGACTTTACGAGATTCTGCTTGGTCGCTGCATTGTCCAATATATGCGCGTCGAATTCTATATCCATATAAGAGGTCCAGGCACTTGGTTTCGTTAGAAGTTCGCGGGACTTTGCAAAGCAAAACTCCGCCGAGGCTTTATCCCACAAAGGCAATTTTAAGGTCGATGGCGCGCCAAGAGATTCTATACTAGATACCGTGGAAGATAGCGATTGTAGACTCGAACATAGCCACTTTGTATCATCGCATGCACAAGATATGGTTAGTTCGTTATATATACAATAAGACGACCATGCAGAATTAGAACAATGGTTACGTACGACGAGACAAGCGAAATGTCACATGAAATTATATCAAATTATATCATTCGAAGATTCGACGTTATATATTATGGAAAATAAAAAAGGATTTTTAGAATGGCAGTGCAGCGACGCATAAAAAAAGAAAAAAAAAACAAAAAACAAAAAAAAAAAAAAAGAAAAAGACAAAAATAAAAAAGAAAACGAAAAGAATAAAAATAGGTGAATAAACCAATAAATAAGCGATAACAAAGAAAAATTAAACGAAACAAATAAACGATGAGTTAGAAAGGAAGGAGGAGAGGAGGGATTAATTAGTATTAGAGTTTCGTCGAAAGTTAATTATATATATATATATATATACACATACATCATACATACATATATACATGTATATGTATATGTATATGTATATGTATATGTACATGTCATGTAACATACGTACATATCACTTACGGTTTAACAAAAATATTCCTAGCTGAAAGATTAGTAATGCATACCTACTTTTCGAGTAAAAGTGACAGCAGGAATTAACTCTGTTCCATAACAGTTTAATCGAGAGATTTGTGAAATGTTATTGAAACATTTGAAACGTAAATTTAAAAGAGTATGTTAAAAGTTGATAGTCAATATTTTTCTCTATTAGTTAATCCGATGAACTTGTTGTTGGTGGTGTGAAGAGTGTACGAAACTGCATAATGCAATAAGCGAACAAAGGAATTCGCATAAAGTGATTAAATAATAATTGTTCTTCCTTTGCTTAAACTTTGAGAACTTTGTGTGTATATTTTCATAATAATAGGTACCAGTAACCAAACAAAAAATTGTTTCAATGTACCTGCATGTCAGGTATTCTGGCTGCTTCTTCTGAAAAGTGTCGTCTGTCTGGTTTGGGACTGTGTTGATGTGGCAACTTAAAAGAGAATTTTCTGCGCCTTGAAGGACTGGCGGGTGTTCGGGGAGACTCCGGTGGATGTTCAAGATCTGTCATGGAACGTGCTGTCAATTCCTGTGCCATAGCAATGGCCGAGTAGAGTGTTTTCTGATCGGCTGCAGAGATAGGCTTCACCTAAATATAAGATAAATGTTTACTGATTCCATCAGTCAACTCTACTAACTTTATATCTTTGATCTTTAATAAGACTTGCGCTACGACTGTACACGATATTGATATATGCATATCGTCCCGCGAAAGATATTAATTACACACGAATGGTGCAATTCCTTTTCTTTTTCTTCTTTTTTCCTTTTCTTTTATTACCTTCCTCCTTTTCGATCCCTTTTCTTGACTTTTTCTAATTAAATTTATTAAATTTTATTCCTTAACTAATGCGTTCTCACAATACAGGTAAGATATAAATAATACAAATATGTATTAACGTAAGTTACAGAGATAAATATAAATGTGGATAAATATAAACAATAAATACAAAAGTAAAAATATCAAGATAGAAAGTAAATATAAATATTTAAACGTCTATACAAACTAATAAAAAAAGGAGCAGCAAACAATAAATAATAAAATATTAATGATCACTAATGTACAATGATGTATGATTAGAAATAATAAAAGATTACTGTACATTTATGGGACTCACGGTCGCTTGTTTCTTCTTGCTGCATTGTTTCGCCTGTATTTCCCGAAGTTCGTTTCTTGCGTTGCTCGATTCATGTTCGGCGGTAGTCAATGGGTGTCCAGGTGGTGGCGGAGGAGCGGAAGAACCTTTTATGAAAAGATCAAATGCGTCAGATAACGAGGGAATATATTTTTTCAATATTATTTCATCGAGTATCATAGAGTTTGCTTACCTAGAGACCTAAACATTTGATCCATCTCGGCCAAAAGACTCGGGCCAAAGTCAAAGTTTAATGTTTTGTCAAATCTCAATGGGCTGTCTTGATTCTCCTCGTCACTGATCTCATGATATTCGTGATCGGCACCGAGACTCTCGATATTACCGATCGGATTTGACGATACTACAGCAGCTTGCTTGCCCGCATTAGAAATGCTTCCCAATTGGCACATCTCGGAATTAACGTCGGACCATAAACTATCTATAAAAGATCATCAGAGAAAAGTATAAGAGGAGGACGATATTGATATATCATATGGAGTAATAATGGTACTAATAATGAAACTCCCTCTAATGATAAAGTAAAGAAGGTATAAGGAAAAAGAAGAAAAAAAAGAAAAAAAAAGAAAAAAACTACCATGTTTACTTTGCTGCTCTTGTTGCAAAGCCCTGCTATCCCTCAAAGTTTCTCTGTCTATCTCTAAACTTCTTACATCCTGATTTAAAATTTGACTAGAATTATCCGTTACATCTTCCTGCGGCTTATAGGGGGTTACCACTTGACGCGGTAAATGTGGGTACTTGCCACCGAGAAAACTGATATCACCGAAATATGCTCCATCCAGGCCAACGTGACCGGTGTGTTTCAAATCGCCTTGAGGGGAGGATATCATATCCGTACGAATTTTCCTCCGTTGAGAGGAAAATGCGTTTTTCCCGTCGCCTCTCGTAAATTCTCCTGGTTTGTTGCTCGGTAAATTCGATCCAAGATATGCTATCGTGTGAGCAGGATTAAAGATTCCTGTTTTCCCGTTATTTAGGACGCCCTTCCACATGGTATTGCTACTACCTTTGTCCAATACCGTTATTATATCACCTTGTCTGTAGACCAATTGTCCCGCTTCTGTACTGTCCTGTACTGCTTGTACTTGTTCTGGTTTTAAGTCTGGCAATAAATTAATTAATTCGGAAAATTTCGGCCTTTTAGACGGCTCGTGCTGCCAGCATTGTTGCATCAATGAGAAATAATCTTTCGGGCAGCATTCTGGTTGTTCAAGCCTTTGAAAGTTTGGTTCGTCGATGGCTTCTAAAATTTGATGGCCCGTCAGCGCTGCCCACGGCTGAAATCCATAACTGAACATTTCCCAAAGGGTTACGCCGTAAGCCCATACATCGCTGGCAGATGTAAACTTCAAATAAGATATGCATTCAGGAGCACACCATGCGATCGGTAATTTTAAATTTACATTAAAATTCGTTTGATAATAATCTTTACCAACGCCAAGAGCTCGAGACAATCCAAAATCTGATATCTTAACTTTGTTTTTAGAAAAGACAAGAATATTCCTTGCAGCTAAATCTCTATGTATTAATCTTTTCGCTTCCAAGTATTGCATTCCATCGGCTATTTGAACAGCAAAATCGCATAGCGACAGAACGGGAAAACTGGCCCTCAAGCTTGGCTCCTTTAAACACTCTAACAGAGAACGCAATGGCGCTAATTCCGTTACGAGCATCAACGAATTTGTATCCAAAACGACTCCGTATAGTCTTACTATGTGTTCGTGATCGATGGAGTGCATAATAGCAGCTTCTTTTAAAAATTCTATAGGATTATTCTGCATTCTCTCTCGCGACAAACATTTTATCGCTACTTGTATCCTTTCGCCGTCGTTGGTCCACACACCTTGTTGTACAACTCCAAATTCCCCAGTTCCTAATTCCTTATTCACTATTATCGCATCGGCAGGGATCATGTGCTTGTTAGGAACCCGTACAGGAGGTCTATCTTGTCTTTCCTCCGGTAACATACCAAGAGCACTGGGTGTTTGTTCCTCGCGCTTTGGTAATAACATCTTCTTAAACTTTGACAGATAATTTTGAGGAAAGTGCTTTTGAAAATATTTCTTTAAGCGTCTCATTTCAGGCTTGCTCATTCCTATAGCATTTAAATCTTCTTCGGTCACATACTTTAATTGCGCTGTTGTTTGAACTTTTAGGTCCCCTAACGATATAATACGATAAAAAATAAATGTAAAATATATTTAAATTTGTATATGGAGCGAAAGAAATGTTTATATCTACATACCCCGAATACCTGGATAATACTGTTGCAATTCTGCCTCCATAAGAAATTCGTAAAGTCCAGGACCGACGTTACGCGACATTCCTCCTTGTGCATCTGTGTTTTTACAATGAGCATTGTTAGTTAAATATTTTTATATTACAACGTAATGAAGTATTTGAGAAATTTCATTTGCTGCATTGTTTATTAGTACATGTATATAGATTAGAGAAAGAACCCAGAGAGAAAGAGAGAGGGGGGAAGGGGAGGGGAGGGGAGCGGAGGAGAGGAGAGGAGAGAGTGGAACTAGAGTGGAAAATGTATTCGGCAAGTGCATAGAGTCTCGTTCGCAAAATCTATTTTCTTTCGTCGTATTTCCGCGAAAGACACGCCCCGCGGCCTTAAATAGAAAGATTTTATTTATAATCAATCGAGACTTCGTACCGCGCACTCACCCATTCTTCGCTGCGAGCGAGGATACGGCTTTGGCAACGGCTTTGGCAGCCGTCCGCTTCGGAGTCACAAAGCTCTTTCTTCCTCTCTTTTGTTTCTTGTCGCGCGCGCGACAACGACCAATCGACCGGTCTTTTCGTTCTCTCAGCCTTCCTTTTTCACTTTCTCAACCCACATTTTGACGAGTCATTTCATCCCTACTTTTATCCACCGTCTCTTTCATCACCGGCCCTTTGGTCGATACAACTTTTAGATTTTTTTTCTCGCTTCCTTTATTTCGCGTAATCGAACGCACTCGCGTACGATAAAACCTCGCGCGAGACGTGTATCCCTCGCGAGTTTCACTTTCTATCTATCTCTCTCTCTCTCTCTCTCTCTCTCCTTCTTCTCCTCCTCCTCCTCCTCACCACCCTTCCACCCTACTCTCTACATGCAAGACGACAGATCGTCTTTATCGCTTGCACGAAGCACTAATTTACAGGACACGTACACGATGCCATAGCATTGACCAATGTCGTGCTGCTAGTGCAATTACTACTACTGCACTTTGCTGTTATTACTGGTGAAAAGCATGCTAGGAGGAGCGATCGACAGAGATCCATCGCAGCATCATGCATCGGTCATTTTCGTTACAATTCGGTTATTGTCGGCTTATATACGCATAGATAAAGATAACAACCGAGAATATCTATGGCTTAAGCTCCCTCCTCTAACTAAACGCTATTGGTGACTGTATCCACGTGCTGATGAATCGACCAATTGGAATAAACCATTACAACGCCAACTTGTTAGAGATTTGGTAATTTTTCTCACGCGGGAGAGTCTATTCGTTTATACAACGTAGAACAGAGTTCTCTTTTAAACGTTGTAGGAAACATTGATAACATCTACAAACGGCTAGAACATTTATCATAATCTAAAGATACTAAGTTTTTGGATAGCCGTAAACAGGTGATTATAATAATCCAATGAATTCAAATAGTTATTACTTGTTCTAACTTGACCGGCAAAGTACCGTCTTCCATAGTTCGTTGTTATAGTGAATCTTTCATCACAGTTGTCCTTAACCTTTGTTTGAGCATGCGTCTAATGACAAAAATAATATTTATAAGTTATTTAACAACATTTATTCTTATTATATTTTTAGTATGAATCAAAAAAGGCTAGTAGACAATACCAATCCATTATATGGATTTAACAGAGAATTGGAGCCAGAAAGAATTATTGGCGCAACTGATTCCAGCGGAGAATTAATGTTTTTAATGAAATGGTTAGCCAATATCATATTATATGCTTTTTACTTACATATTTATTTCTATATAATTTTCTGTAAAAAAAAGTAAAAGAAAAAAAAAAAGAAAAAAAAAAAAAAAAAAAAAAAAAAAAAAAAAAAAAACAAACCAAAAAAATATGCGACGAGGTGACAAATGTTATACATAAGATTTTATTCATATAGGAAAGGAACAGAGGAATCGGATTTAGTACCTGCGAGAGAAGCCAACGTTATTTGTCCTCAGATAGTTATTAAATTTTATCAGGAAAGACTAACTTGGCATACTACTACGATAAATCATAAACCAAATACCAATTAAAGTGTTTTCTATTATTAAGTAATATATTTCACTAAGCAAATTTTCTTTATAAAAGATTCTATGATATACAAAAGGACTGAGAAATGAAGGATTAATCAATTGTCTTCTCTTTTCAGTTTATTCTCCCACTTTTTATCTCGAGCATTATTCATTAAAAATCTATAAATTTTCCAAGAGCGATCGTAAATCTTAATATATTGGATCGGCAACATTGTTTCTTCTTTCTATTTCTCTTTCTTTTTTATCTATTTATTTATTTAGTTATCTATTTATTATTATTATTATTATTGTTGTTGTTATTATTTTTTTTTTGTTAAATAAATCACGCATTCTTATATATATATATATATATATCATGTATCTGTAGAATTATCGTCGCTACGTATACTTTGAAATATCTGAATCGATCTGAATGATAGCTTCAGCGTGTACAGATATAGCTTCATTACGTACAAGTGAATATAAGTTGGCAGATCTTCGTATCAGCTGTAATGTATAATAAATTGATAAGAAAGAGATGCATTTTCTCTTTTTTTTTTTTTCATAATTGAAATAACAAGGTTACTAAAAGAACGCGCATATATTTGTAATACTAGCTGCTCTATATCGTATTTCAATCTTGTATCGCTCGCTTTTTTTCCTTTTGGAGGAAAAAATATCTTGTTTATTATGTGAAAATATCATTTTTTTTTTTTAACTTAATAAGATCTATCGCATGAATGTCTTCTTTATAGTAGAAACACAATTTGCTTGTTCTTGCTTTTCTTCCTTGGTACCGATTGTTGAATTGCAATCTTTAATTACTTCGATTAAAAGATCATTAGGTTTTTTTAATGTAGTAACCTCGTTTAGTGTCTTTGTATCGTCACAATCGACAGATTTTTCTTTGGATATTTCCTGTTGTATCGTTGAATCTTTTTCCAAATTAAAATTACCCGATTCTGTAGTTTGGCATAGAAACGTAGCTTCGGTCACCGTTGTTGTTTCGGAGGGTAAACCATTGAGATTGGAATAATTAGCTTTCATAGAGTGATTAGCGCGCATCGTTGAAGGTGTTATTGCATGCTTGTCAGAATGATTCAAATAATTGCACAAAAAATAATTATGGCGAGACATATTCTGAGGATACAACTTCTCTTCTATTCTTCTGTTTATTACGACAGCTTCGGCGAGCGGTATTGGTTCTGTATACGTAAATGTTTTCTTATTACTTTCGGTCTTATCTTCTGGCTTTCTAATACAAATAGGACCATTAATAACGGGTACTGCATTACTTAGCTCGGTGGTAGTTCTTATAACTGGCGTAATATTACCCATTGGATCTAATCTAGAGTTAATTTGTTCATGAGAATTTGTGACACCTAATGAAACTTTATTGGACTTTAATATAACGTTGGACGACGTCATTCTTTCCACCTTCTTTCCTTTTTGCTTATGTTTCGTGCTCACTTGTTTTGATTTTAATACCTTTCTACTTGCAATTCCTCTAAGACCTTGTAATTTATTCATATCGACTGTTGAAATATCTGTATGATGATGCCTAATGTGACGATTTAAATTATCCTTCCTCCTGAAGACGGTTTGACAGTACTCGCAGGAGAATGGTTTGTCATCTAAGAAAATTATGCAAGATATCAATGAGTTTCTTCCTCATTTCATTCCTTTTTTTTTCTTTTTTCTTTATTTTTTTTTTTTTATTTTTTTTTGTTTAATGGACTTTCATAAAGGATATACCTGAATGTACTGCCAGATGACGTCTTAATTCACTCTTGGATAAGAAAACTCTATTGCAATGGGCGCACGAGAAAGGCCTGTCTTTTTGATGAGTTCTCTTGTGACGTATTAGCAAAGATTTATCTTTAAAACTCTTACCGCATTGGTCACACACGTATGGCCGTTCATCTGATAATAATAAAATTCATGATACAATTCGTTTTTGCTTAATTAAAATATCATTTTTAAATAATATGCTTTGTTGTAAGATAATGCCATAATGTAAATCATCAGACTCACTAGTATGCGTTCTCATGTGACGTTTCAAATTTGTCAAAACACAGAAAGATTTTTCACAGGCTTTGCAGGTATAAACGACAGAATTGTTATGACTATTCAAATGGCTTTTCAAATCTTCTTGCTTACTGTATCTTTTTTTACATTTAGGGCATATAAATTGCTTTTCTTCTACAATATATCATTACATTAAAAGGAAAGACTCGAAAGGATAGTAAAATGAAACAAAATTCTATATAAAACATGCCAAATCGTTGCTTACTGTTATGCGTATGCATATGTCTATTCAATTTGTTTTGTTGTGGAAATGCTTTCTCACATATACCACATTTATACGGTTTATATCCACTGTGAACTCTTTCGTGATATTCAAAATGGGATCTCTTAACAAAACCTCTATCACAGAAAGTACATTGATAAGGCTTAATCCCAGTTACGCACGCGTCGTGGTAACATTTGCCTTTTTTGTTCCGGAATATTTTATCGCAAGCATTACATTTATACTTTTCTGGAGTTCCAGCTATTACCGATATATGGCTTCTATTGGAAGATTTTAAGTGCTTATCCTTTACTGTACCTTTATTATCAACAAACTCAATAGGATCTGACTTTGGTTTCTATATTGAAATATTATTTTCTTTTTTTTTTTTTTTTTTTTTTTTTTGTTTATTTTCTTTTTTATACAAATTTATATGTGACTTTACTTACTGCGTTTCTCACATTTGCTCTCGTTGATATAGGCGTCTGAACATCATTAAAAGCATCTGTTGATTGGGATACCAAATCGTTTTCATTATTTAAATGAATCTGCACATTTGAACTTACATCGCATGATTCTATCTTTGGAATATACGTTTCAATCGAGCTTTTCTCATTGTCAGTGTTTACAGTTGACAATTTATATATATCCTTTTCGCTATTAAGAGTGTCTTTATAGATACACTTTGAATTTTTATTAATAACAAGCTCTAAAGGCAAGATTATCTCTTCTCCGATTACAGAACTTTTAGCATTTGCATGATTGTCATTTGTTAATTCAACTGTGAGGGAGAAAAAAGAAAAAAAGAAAAAAAAGAAAAAAAGAAAAAAAAGAAAAAAAGAATTTTATATATTTTTCTCAAGTTCATTATTTTTTTATTATGTATTAGAAATTAGGAAAAGTATTGGGAAGAAAAAGAGAGAGAAAATTTTTACCAAAGTCTCCATCGTTTTGTGGAAGATCACGGCAAGTTTTACATCCTTCTTCTTCATATAGAAGACACATTCTGCATTTGCTATGACCACAACTATCTTTTATCAGTCTTGAATCTGATGTATTTGTAATTTGCCGACAATTTGGACATTCTTCGCTCATTGTAATTATTTTTTCCACTCACATAATAAAATGTCACATGTCATTTCATCAGACATATTTTTTTTCCTTTAATAGAAGCAATGTCTTTCCTTCTCGAATATCGCTCTTTTATTATTTTCACAATATTATTATACGCAACGTATACGAAGTATACGTTTTAAACGTTCACATTGTTTAGTCAATAATTTCGAAAGTTACTCATATTGAAAACTCCTAATTCGTGCGTATACCCAGACGAAATACAACGTAACCTTTTCTTTTGAGACGGTGCACGCGGCAACCGAAGATAAATTTCGCGGGAAAAGTGAGATTTAAAATGCTACACTTTTCTTAGTGTTTACGAAAATATTTTCTTTTTATTAAGTTACCTAAGAGAGGTGCAAGGAATAAAAAGGACTTTCTGTTAAAACAATATTATTTACATAAAAAGGAATTGTTTTCTAAACGCCCGCGCGCGCGCGCGTGCCTGTGCATTTGTTGTGTATGTGCGTGTGTTTTAATGTGTACCAGCGGCGAACAGCAAATATGCATTGAATTAGGGAAAATAAAGTAAATGCTGCCATCTATGCATTATCTCTTTTCGAGTTGGAATCAAAGGAAATGCTCATAAATTCATACGATAGTGCGTTGTTCCTCTCGCGTTATACCACGGATTATGTATCTTTGAGCTGCTTAAAGCAGTGCCGACTCATCACTAAAAAGATTTCAGCCAAAACTTCGTTTTATTCTTGTTGAAGGAGATTCTCGAACTTCATTTTATCATTAAGTGGGATATTGTTTCTTTGAAAATTCTACAATATGATTATAACTCTGAAAAATTTACAGCAACAAACTTTTACGGTAGAAATTGAACCATCCGCAACGGTGAGTTAAAACGTAGTGATATCGAATTTTATGTAGCTTCGTTTCGGTTAATTAGAAAAATTATATGTTACCTTGCAGGTAAGGGAGCTTAAGAAACATATCGAGACTCAAGAAGGCTTCCCTACCGAACACCAAAAGTTAATATATGCTGGTAAATTCAAGCCCATAACCTCACTTTTCTCTCGTCCGAATTTATAACATTTGCGACTATGTTTGTATGATTTTCAATGTTCCGTCATATATATGTGCATATAATTATTATGAAATGTTTCACATATAATACATTAAATGTCCGCGTAATTAATTTTATTTCAACGATTTATATCACGTATGAGCTATTGCAGGTTAAGTTTGAAAGTTTTTTCTTTTTCTTTTTCTTTCCTTTTCGACGAATGGTTTCCAACACCAATGTCTCTTTTCAATGTCTCTTTCGAGATCAACGTATACGTATATATACGTATTTTATATATATATATATGTTATTGCATTGTGTGATGTATTTATGCGATATTGAAATATACATGTAATTATTCCAGGAAAAATATTAATCGATGACAAACCCCTTACGGAGTATAGTATCGATGAAAAGAAATTTATAGTTCTAATGATTACAAAACCAAAAGCTGGTAGTGGTTCGGCTGCGAGCGAAGAGCACAATGTTGAAAGTGACAATAAGGAAGACACAACTACCAGGTATTCAATGATATAACAGTTTATGAATTTGTCGTTTCCAAAATGTGTTGTTTTTTTTAAAAGTTTGAGATTGGAAAAGAAAAGTACAACTATTGTCTATATAAAAATGATATTTTAGAAAGGTAATAAGACGAGTCGCAAGGTATTAAACCTCGAATAAATGTTTTTAAATGTAAATATTTATGTTGCAGTTACGAATGAGAAAAAAAAAAATTGTTATTCTTAAGATATTTCAGGCGAGTTCATGGTATTTATCTTTTGCCATAGCTCAGCACCACCACCACCTAGTACAAACCCTAGCGGTCAAACTGTATCTCAACCATCGACAAATGTGCAAGAATCTACAGTGACAGAGCCAGCAGCTGCTGGAGGACAAGCCGAGAGTGCCTTGCTGATGGGTGAAGAATACAATACAATGGTAAACAATATCATGGATATGGGGTAAGTAAAAGAAACGAGAGAGAGAGAGAGAGAGAGAGAGAGAAAGAGAGACAAAAGAATAAGAAATAAATAATCTATTTGTATGCGGACAGATAAACGCCTTTATATTTTCAATTAATCTCATTTTTATTAGATACGAGAGAGAACAAGTTGAACAGGCTTTACGAGCGAGCTTCAACAATCCAGATAGGGCGGTTGAATATCTTCTGACAGGTATACCCGCTCAACTATTTGAGGATCCATTGGAGGATCCTGCAGAAGCGCAAGAACAAATTCAAGATCAAGGCCAAGATCCTTTAGCATTCTTGCGAATGCAACCACAGTTTCAACAAATGCGCCAAGTTATTCAACAAAATCCTCAACTTTTAAATACCGTGCTCCAGCAAATAGGACAAACTAATCCTGCCCTTTTACAGCACATTTCACAGAATCAGGAAGCATTTATACGTATGCTGAATGAGCCAGGTTCGTTTGTTAAAAAAAAAAAAAAAAACAAAACCAAAAACAAAAAAATAAAAAAAGTAAAAAAAATAGAAAAAAATAGAAAAAAAATTTAAAAAAAAAAAACAAAAAAAAACAAAAAAAAAAATTAAAAAGAATTAAAAAAATTAAAAATTTGGCAAGTATATTGATGTGAACTTTATAAATGGATGCTCACACAAGTGAATCTTTTTAATGCAGTAGAAACAACTGGTGGTACAGGCGCACGAGTTATGCCTGTATCTGCAGCAGCGGTAGCATCTGCGGCCGCTCCAGGTGGTCTTTCAGGTGGTGGATCTAGTACACGGGCGGCTGTTGAAATGATTCAGTTAACACCGCAAGACAGAGAGGCTATTGATAGGTTGACGGCGTTAGGATTTCCAGAACATCTAGTTGTACAAGCTTACTTTGCATGTGAAAAAAATGAGAATCTTGCTGCTAACTTTTTGCTATCTCAAAATCTCGATGACTGAAGTTATACATATGTATGAGTTTGAAATATCAATGGACTGAGAAAGGGTGGGTAAATTACATCATAACCACTTATTTTCACAGTAATTACGATTGCTTTGTTTGTAAATATACGTACATGTTTAGGATATTTTATTCATTATATACAGGAGAATTGACATGTATACCAACAAGCTAAATTTTATGTGATATATTCATCAATGTATCAAAATGGCTGGAAATGCAACAAATTTAAAATTACACACACTGATATAAAATTCTATTTGTTGTGCTATATCCATGATGGATTTCACCTAAAACACATCAATATTGCAGGCTATAAAAGAATCATTTGGAGCTTGTATTAATACATTCATACTTATAGATAACAGTCGTATGGTAATGAATCTTTGCTTCTTCACCGTCTGGAGCAAATTAATACTATTTTTACGTAAGAAAGTCCACGTAACATTTGTAGTCTGTTAATAGAATATACGTTTATTTCATTGTATTTATACATTCAAAACTAAGGGTAGCTATAGATCGGTAAATAACAATAAATAAAAGTACACCTTTTGTGCGTGCATTTAAATAAATAATTGTGCGTATGCGCGAAAGGTCTATACATATGTATCTCCAGTTCATTAATGTACTTTTGTGCACTTGATGGACTTTCTAATGTAAAAACAATATAGGTGCATTCATATACGGTCGGAATTAGTGCTTGTATATGCGTGTACATTCGCGTATGTATAAAAAGAGAAAAAAGAAAAAAAAAGAAAGAAAAAAGAAAAGAACAAAAAAAGAAATAAAAAAAAAATACGGGAAAAAGGAAGAAAAAGAAACAAAAAAATTGATCTCTTGATATTTTTTAAACGAAAATAATAAAAGATAGTTGCACATGAAAGAGAAATTTAACAAGTCAATCCATTAAATGTGCATTAAACGATTATAACACAGTTTCTAGCGTTGAAGTAATATAACGAAGAAATTTTAATTGATACGTATACGTGCATCAAACTTCTTTGTTAAGAACTTCTTTCTTAAAAATATTATTTTCATGAAAATATTAAATATATTAATATTTCATATACATAGATAACTCTGTGAGTATAAAATTTGCAGATTTTTATCATATACGATTTTGCGAGAGAAATATATAGAAATTGTAGATACAGCGTGACTTATAGTCACCGATTGCAACCATTAGATTAATACTCTGATCGATGAGAGCTTTTACGAAGAAAAAATAAAAAAAAAAGAAAAAAAAACAAATGAAAAGTAAAAAATAAAAGTATTCTCTATGACAAAATGCTTCGATATGGTCGTCAAAAATTTATCTGCTTGTTAACTTTGACATTTCGGTTTTATCTTCCTCTTATATGCATATGTGCGTATGTAAGGATTCGTTATTTGTAACTACATAATGTATAAGTACATACTCATGCGTGTATGTATCTGGCTGGCTGGCTGGCTGGCGTGCGTGCGTGGATGGTATGTGGTACATACATACGAATTCTTTGAAAATATATTATAACGATGTTGAGGAGATTATCCTCGAGTAAATGGTATATAACAGTACTGTATTTTTATTTATCAGCAAATTATGAAGCAATTGTATTGAAAGAAATTTAGAAAATAATGTATAAAAACTCAAGTCCAACTTATTCTATACTTCATTTTTAGATCTAGAGACACTTTGAAGCAGCAAAATCTTGTTTTTTTCTTTTCCACTGTTTTCAATATGTTTGTAATACTTAAAAACATAAATAAATGTATCTTCATTTATTAGATAAAAATAGTTAATTACAAATATTCTTTTCTAGCAGAGTTACATATCTTCGTTGCATTTATATAGCTACATTTATCAATAAACAACAACATTTATCAATAAAAATTTGACGAGCTCATGAAATTAATAGCTTAAATAATGAAAATATTAATAAAATGGAAGAATCTTAGACAACTTGTTCAAAATTGTGTATATTCATGGTATACGCTTTAATATACAGAGTATAAAAATATATTCATTTTGTTCATGAGAAAATACCTTTTGTACGCAAATCTTTTTTAGCTTCTTCTATTTCCTGCAATTTCAATAATTAGTAAAAGTAAATGTTAATCGATCTACCGTATAAGGACAATTGTAGGAGTAAAAAGATAATATACTTTTTTGAGTTCAGCTGATTCCATGTTGCAATCATTGAATGTAAATGTCCTGTATAAGACGACACTGGTTGCATAAAAACCAAATACAAGTAAAGCTATAAGCGGTAGGAATAAAAATATTTCTTGCCATTCCGTGGCATAAGAAAGATTTATATATCCGGTGATCACTGCTAGCCATATACCTAAAGGTACACTAGTATACGTAAGCCATTCCGTCAACTTAGACATCTGCAAAGAAAGGTGAATTAATATAAAACAACGTTCCAGTTCTAATGTTAGACCGATAAAGATTATGTTTATAAAACATTGGTAACTGACTTCACGTTATAAATACTAGACAAGTAGGAATTATCACAGAGATCGATTCGTCGCCGACCAACACGTCCACGTATTCTTACATTTGTTATCATCGGGTAGAAGGTGACAACATAGTTGTTATTACGTTTGAGCCATCTCGTAGATAAGAAATATACTACATTTTACTTTTTGTACGTTTAATCGTTAATCGAAAATGATTCATCGACTTGTTAAGTCATTTTTTTTTACTTTCTTTGTTAAAATAAACAATTGTTTTCGTTCATTTATAATTTTCGCTACGGTCGACAATGTATCCGCTGCGAATATCGTTATTATCGACGTAATATTAATTCCTAATTATAACTGCTTATCCTCGTAGTAAACTGCTTTATCTTCGAGATGAGGTTTGTCGTATATAAGTGCTGTCATCTCGCGATCTAGCGACGAAACTTAATTTGTGCATTAGAAAGACATTGGTACGTACTTGGATATTTAATTATTATTTAACTGAAACGTAATGCACACACATTATTATATAATTTGTATAATCTGGGATGTGTATAAGAAAAACGAAATGAATACTAAGCGCATTTATTTTCGTAGTATCTTAATATATTTTGTAATAAATTAATGTTAGATTTGTTTCTATCGTTTAAGTTTTTTAAGTTCTTTTCTTTTCTTTGTTTGTTTGTTCTTTTTTCTTTCTTTTTCTTTTTCTTCTTCTTCTTTTTATCACGTAAACATGAAGAATTATTTGTCTTTATGCGAATGTATTCACATCACTGTACAGGCTTATTCATACGTTTATTTTTCTCTCAGGCATTATAAACTCCAGTGTTGATCAATATTGAATTAAATGAATTTTTTACTAATACGAATGTTGATCGAATTAAATATTGATCATATTGGAAATTGATCATGTATTGTTTTTAAAAGATCGATCGTACGTAGGAAGCAGCCGGATAGAAGGTACTATTTTTTTAGATTCATTGAATTTTACGCAAAATGTAGTATATTTCATAGAGAGTTTTTGGAAAATACATGTACGCGGTTGGAAATTGCGTCATAAGGTGATGATTACTATAATTGAATCGTACGACATGGTATTTTATCATGCTTCAAACTGCTTCGTAATGTACCGTTGCACTCGTGCCTAGGAACTGGTGTATCTAATATATACACGTATAGGTGAGACACTTGGGGTGTACTTACTTAATCTCCTGAAACATATTCTCGAGTAGTTATTTTTATTTGATACATTACCATTATGTATTCTCGTCAATTATTATTCCGTATTCGAAACGATATTACTCGAAGTAACTTATCTTTAATAGTATTAGATGGAAGACATGGACGATAGGATTAAACTTCGTTTATCATCTATAATCGGTACGTAAAGTACAATGAATAAGTAAAATGATATTTAAAATTGGATATTGGATCGAAATCGATCGTACGAACCGGCCGTCCGTTTCTGTAACGGGGAAAGGATTTTTCTTCTTTTTTATCAAATAAAAACATTCGAGCAATCTCTATGATATAGATTTTTATGCAAGATAAAAATAAGTACACCTGTACTTGCCTCTTTGGGAAGTTTTGTCGAGAGTACCTATACTTGTATATAAGTAGGTACTAAAGTACAAGTACTTTAAGCGGGTACCGGGGTTAGGATACTATTCGTACGTATTTACAGCGGAGTTATATCCTTCATTCGTATTACCTCTCCAAAATTCATTCAACATTCGTGTCGCTCGCAATGATGCAACACCGATGCACTCCACTCTCTGATAATAATAAATCTTCGATCGAAGTTTTTTAGGGAGGGAAGAGCTCGTAAGTTTTCGCAACTTGTTTTCGATACTAAAGAACCAAGATCCGAGGCACTCTTTCGGTACGTAAGCGTACACGAAACGAACGATAATAATGTAAAACATACGTAATGTAAGTAGTACCTATTTAGAATTCTCTTGGTTGTTTACGAGTAAACAAAAGCATCGTTATTTTCCTCTTCTTATTCTTTCGTAAATAATCCATTACTTTCCGTTATAAATGTGAAATATTAATGTCGAATCAAAATCAGTGCGGCAGCACCGATGCAGGATATTACGAGAAGATTTTTCTTGAAATAGTTCAAGCGTCGTAACGATCGCAATGAAGTAATATAAGTGGTATTTAAAAATATAATCTTTTTTTGGTCCTAGCGTCCCTTCTATTCTAATACGTTTTCTACGTGTGTTTAAGGTACGTTGCATTTCTCTTCCGTAACATTCTTAAACATTGGTTCCCATTGGTTTCGTCGGTAGTATAGACTTTTCTATCGCAGAGACACGCAAACTGAACTGATTTGGATAAGTAAAGAATTAACAAGGTATATTCCATTTGATATATCGATCAACGTCCCGATTAATTTACACAACGTACATCCCATCGAGAGAACGAATCGTCATCGAAATTATTATCATGAATGATTTCAAAGAGAACAATTATATTCCGTGCAATATTGTAATGCTATTTATTTAATATCAGCGTTCGTCCCTCGACTAATTCGTACTCGTAATTAATGTATCCCCATAAAAAAACACTTTCGTACGTCTTTTTATTTTCGCCTCGTCTTACATAGATGCTTCAGTCGTTCCAAATAACGAGGAGGTTATTTTCTTCATCGATTATTGTTTTCAGGTACGCAAGCGGTAAAATTACATTGGTAATTAATAGTATAGATTTAAAATCAAAGACATCCCTTTGACTCGCTTGGCACGGCAAATTGCGCTACACTTAACAAAGCTATACTTGCGATATATTTTATACTCCTTAAAATATTATCATCCAATTGGATGGATTACCCTATATTTCTTCTCTACGTGATCTTCTAGGTAAAAGGAAACATATAATTGTGAGAGTTGTTGCTCCGATTTCGGATACCGACGAGTGGAATTTCTTCTTAGACGACTTTTCGCAGTATCCGCAGTATACTTAGAAAAAAAAAATCAAAATGTACATCTTTTTTAATATGGCCCATGTCTCTATAAGCCATGCTCGTATAAACGATTAGACCAATACGGGCCCGTCTGTTTTTCTTTCCGAGATAAGGTCAAAGGTGGGAGTAGAAATATCGGTAGGAGTCGGTACGGCCAATGGCGCCAAACGAATTGTTTTCTTCGCGTCCATGTACGAACGCATTCGAATTTTGGCACGATGTATTTGAGAAGGCGACGATTCCAAGATCCCGCAAGAACCGTCCTCGGTACGTTTGCTACGAAATACGGACTCGGTCGATTTGCTTTGTTCGTAAGCGATCGGGGAGCTCTTTAGATTGATCGCGGATACGGAGTTGTAGACGGTGGATGATAAGTCGGTCCGGATCGGATTGGTTTCCGGGGAAAAATCGGCCGTGTCGTTTTCTTCGAAGGATGTGAAAATGTCCGAGTCAGGTACCGAGGGTGCGTCAAAGAAGGATTCGCGTAACGAAGAGGTCAATGGCTCGGGACACATAAACGGATCTAAGGACGTCAAATCGTTCAAGTCGCTGCCGCTGTTGCACGTTTGAAAGTCGTTCACCGAGTAAGATGAGGGAATGGCTTGATGCTCGTTAACGCACGACAAAATTTCTTGACTCTTTGATGATTCCGACCATTTCGAGTCGGACGGCCGTCTCGAGTTGAATCTCGTCGAATCGTGTTCGCCGAATATCGGTTCGGCCAATTTATTGTCCCTCGTTTTCTCATAGTTTCTGAGCAAAGCTTCGAACAATTGTATCGGTCCTCTCTCGGTAGTATCTATCGTCTCTGGTAACTCCTTGTACGAAAGATCGGTCGGTACGAGGGTCTCGCTAAAATCCTCGACGTTGAATAATACCGACGGCAACGTAGGATCCGAGTGTCGTACGGGACTCTTTCGATTTCGACACGACTCGAGTTCACCGTTGTTCCTCGTCGTAATTTCTACATGAAAATTTTTGGATTTTTTTTCTTGCGCCGAGGACAAAGGTACTGGCTCCAAAGGACTGGTTGGTTCCGAGTGTATAATGGGAATCGTTAATCCTTCGGCGAGCTTCGAATTTCGAAAAAATGTCGCGTGCTCGGTGCTTGGCTCGATCCGATTTACCGATTCTGAGTGTATTAGTTGCATCTTTATTCGAACTTGCGAGAATCGATAGGGTGATAGGTCGGTTTCAAGTTTGACGTTTTTCGATACGTTCGGCGGCGGCGGCAGCAACGGCGGTGGCGGTGGCGGTGGCGGCGGCGCCGCACGGCGTTGTTTCGGCCCAAAACACGCCAGGTTAGAAGGCAGCTTGTTGTTGCCGATGACATTCATAGTTCTCGAAGATAATCTATACTTTGGACTTCCAAGGAGGTTGCGGTTCGCCGAGTTTTCGCTCGTACATAGGGACGACGAGTAGCTATTGCGAATACGCGCAACGTCTATGTCGTTGGTAAGATCGTATCGTGGTCGCGTTCGGGCTCGCGAATAAACGTTCCTTATAGTTTGGCTCTCCGTTTGACGTCGATCAAATTGGTCGTCAGACGGACGTCCATCGAATATATTGTTATTTAAATTCTCGACGGAATATCTGTGAACGAGCTCTGATCCTTTCTTATTCGTTACGAATACTCTCGAGTTAATCTCGGACGTGTTTCCGCCGGCCGTCCTTATATTCGGATAAGACATCGAGGATAGATTCGAATTTCCTCGCTCATCCGCATCCATGTCCTTTGCCGTCGCATCGACGTCGAGCGTCCTGTCGATGTCGTTTGATTGGCTATCGGCTACGGCGTTTAACGCCGGATCGGACATGGCGTTGAACTGAAGAAATTTTCTATTGGCACCACAGTCGGAATTTAAATTCTGATAGGATATGAACTTGGGCTCGGACCATTTCTTCGAAAAGTTCTTGCTCAGGAGTCTCTTGCGATTGAGACGTCTAAGATGTCTTATTTTACCGAACGTCGGATCAAGTAGGTACTTGAGATTTTTAATTTTATCGATGTTGTGATTCGAATCTATAACGTGATTCCGATCGATTATATATTTCGGATCCAACATTTTTCTCAGATCCTCGATGTCCTCCTCGACGATCTCGTTTGGATGATATTTCGAGGACGAACTACGATCGGCTTCATTTCTTTCCGGCGAAATATCTCCCTGCCTTCCGGATATGTCTAAACAACGTTTGCTCGAGTAATGGGCGTTGCCGCCCACTTGTTGTTTGGGAGCGAAACAATTTTCGACGTGTTGTCGTTCCCTAATGTCGTTGCCGTTGTTCACCTCGGCCAATTCTAGATTTGTATTCGATTGGCGTCTCGCGGGCGAGCATCCGCCGTATCGGCTAGGCGTAACACCGAACAAAGCGACTAGGTCCTCGGCTATTTTTCCCGCCGCTATTCGCATCTCACCGTGATGAAAGGCATAAATCCAAGGATTTGCTCCGCTGTGAGAGAGAATTGGCAGACCCAACCAGACGACCGCCCATTCCGTAAGGAAATTGGTGTCGTAGAAGATGTCGAGCAGCATGCAGGTCTGAAAAGGGACGAAATACGAGATTCGGGACGATAATATTTGCATAATTTTCTTTAGAAACGCATTTTCACGCCATAAACGCGTATTATCGTTTCAATATCTGCAGGACGTTCGAATCAAACGTTCTCATTCCTGACGCGAGGACTCTTCCGTTTTCTTTCTCTTTCTTTTTCTTCTTCGTTCTTTTTCTTTTTCTTTCATTACGAACGAGAGAAAGAGGAAAGCAAAGAGGAAAAAAAAACTCTTTCATTTGATCTGAAAAAAGATAATGAAAAAATTCCAAAATGTAAGTACGCTTCGAAGCGTACGTCGTCGGAAATATCTATGGAAATTTGCTGTCGCGCTTATTCTTCCACGACGTCGTATAGAAAATTTTAACAAGACGTAACGTATTGCATATTGCAGCGTATCGGAGGAGTAGCTAACTTCGTTTCAATGGCTGTACTCCTAAGAGATGGGGCGATCGTTATCTTTTGCGATCGTTGAAGGAGATTAGATCGGTTTTTAGACAGTTTTTGCTACGGATATAGCGCATTGGTTGTCGCACGATTTGTCCTGTTTCTATAGTTGAATATACGATATAATATTAAACGTGCATCTAACAATAGAAAATTTCCAAGTATGGACTCTTACATATATGCATATAAAACGTATGAGTGCGTTTATGTATATAGATTGGTTTCTAGGACTTTAAAGATACGAAAAGAGAGAAGGTATATATATTTACACTCACTTGAAACGGAAGCCAAAGGATGAAAAAGGCTCCAACCGTTACAGCCAACGTTTGGCCATAGCGAGGCAAAGCCATGGTTTGCGTTTGATGTCGGAATGATAATTCTACCGTGTAAATAGCACGTGCATGAGCGCGTGCTACCAGGTAGACGTAGACGTAGCAAGCGAGAAGTACGAGAGCGCTCGGCGCCCAAACTGCTACGACCAGGAAGACTCTTACAGGCGGCAAGACGGCTGCTCCGAACCTACAACCTCCGCTATGACGTAAAGTAAATTAATCTCTCTCTCTCTCTCTCTCTCCCTCTCTCTCTCTCTCTCTCTCGCTCTTTCTCTCTCTCTCTCTCTCTCTCTCTTTCTCTCTCTCTCTCTCTCTCTCTTTCTCTGGGTCACGATGGGAGGTAATTTCTCAATTACGAATTACACTACTACTAGGCGTATTAGTATATATTAGTATAGAAATTGCGATTAAAGACTCGTCGACGATTCATCATGGATAAAATAATACCTATGCGTTTCAGTCAGACCCGTGATTTGAGCGTAGATCAAAGGCGAGAGTCCAACGCAGATCGCATAGATCCAAAATACGGCGATATATTTTTCGATGCTGCTGTGAGTGATGATATTCTTATATCTCAATGGTTGTGCCAACGATGTCAAACGATCTACCGCTATTGCCACCGTAACTAGTACGCTCACGCTACAAAGCGCGATCACGATGCAATACGGAAGGATGCACAGCGTCGACGTACCGTTTTCTGGCAGACCAGAGAGTTCTAGCTGCATACCAAACGGCATGAACACTCCGACCTTTGTCAAAAGCAAATATCGATTAGGTATCGTTACGTGCTAGACGATAATGGCCTCGATCGTCGATGAAATTTCATTTTTGCGGTATTATTTGTTGCTGCTACTTCTTCCTTTCCGAATTCATTCATTTGCGAAAGAATCTTTATTAACGAAAGTCCAACCAAAGAGTTACAAAGAGTTATAGAAAGTATTTTTTTTTTCTTGAAATCACGTTAAATCTAAAAAGCTAACGATCGAATAAACACGAGAGCGTTTAATTTGACTCGTAAATGGCACGCACGATATACGCATGTATACCCTACTATCTAACCTAATGCCATAGCGGCTCGACGACCAGGCAGGCGGTACTCGAATTCATTGATTGTTACTTCGCACGACGCATTAGCGAAACCATTTCTATTCAAGCTCCGTAAGATTCGTTCATTGACGTCATAGCTCACGGACGATAGATCGGCCAATGTATATATAATTTAAGGAACGATTCGTCCAAGTACTTTATTCTCGTCTATTTGTGTGTATATATTTGTGTATATATATATATATATATATATGTATATGTATATATACACTTCTATTCGTACGTATTGCATTGCGTTATATCCTCGTAAAATACTCATCGACGATCGATGCTCCGACGAACGCAAGAGAAAATCAATTTCGGGCTCACCCCAAAATCGCTAACGGCCAAGGACACGAGAAGGTAGTTCGAGGCCGTTCTAAGTCTCTTGTACCTATAAAAGGCTGCTAAAATGATGGAATTTCCCGTGACGGTTATCGGCGAGAGGATGCAAACTATCGAGACGGCGAGTACCACCGAGATCGGACTGACGTCCAGTCTGGTATCGATCTTGGTAACCGTCGGTATAACAGCGGTCGTCGATTCATCGGGAATAGTGCTTGGACACAGCGACTCCGTAGCGATCGCTGACATTGTCGTTTCTTTTAAACGGTATGTCTGTACCGTGCTTGCGCGTCCCTTCTTTTCTCGCCCACGCGTCTTTCAAGTCAAGTTGGGTTCGTAAATGTGTCTTCCGTATGACGCCATGCCGTCACCAGCAAATACGTCGGAATCGATGAAATCCGAAAGTAACTCCACCCAGACTCGTACACTTCGCACGATCCATGATTTTTTTTCCCTGGTGTCAATGTCGAATGACGCTCGCCACTGAAAACAGAGTGAACAGGCGCTTGTCAAAAAAGAAAAAGTCTGTTTACCAAATCGACCCATTTATAAGTTAAATATATTATCGCTAATTTATGCCCTTACCGAACAGTATATTTTTATAAATACATTTAGCCGAGATTATCGCTTAGCTTTGATATATTATAAGCGTTATAATAAGAATAATTTAAATATATGAAAATAAATAATATAATATATAAATAGTAATATATTTGTATAGAGCGGTTACATCACAAAGTACTCATTGTTCGGAACTATTCCACGTTTCTAAAAGGAAGGATAATTGTGAGAATATCCATCGCACTTGTTCAAATTCTCGCCTGCACGACTGCCATTATCTCATATTTGCAATTCGAATCCATTTCAAATGGATCCGAACGCGGCGTTAACGTTATTTTTCGAGCTGGATTCAATTTGGAGGCTATTAAATTCGAGCGTTCGCATACTAAAACCGCACGTTCACTTATCGCCTACTATGACTTTATTTGTGAATAAGCGCGAAAACGTTTAATTAATTTGCATGTGCGAAGGTACGGTTGAAAAACACATCTTTGATTTTCGTTACTACCATCGTTGCTTACTATTTTTGCCAGACCTATTGCAATTGAGTTAAGGGTAGTTTACTTCTTCTCTTTCTTTCCTTCTTTTCTCTTTCAGTGCCGCCACTCTTTATGTGCTACCACCAATCGTTTTCTCCTTTGCCATGACTGCAAAAAGCTTCCCAATGGTTGCTATATTCATTGCTTTTACTGGAAATGAATCATTTGCTTTTCTCTTTCAGGAAGAAAAAGAAAAATGGGACAATATCGTAGGGTAACGTTATTTTGAAAAAAATATAGGAAAATGAATTATCGTCCTGGGAGATGGAGAGGAATATATAGAGAGGGAGAGGGAGATAAAGAGGGTTAAAGATTGGAGGATTTTCACTCTGGAGATATCAAAGTATATTTTACGTGGCTTAGATCGCGCGTAACGATCAAGTACCTTTCACTTTAATAAATTGTTAACCGTCCCTGAGAGAGTTTCTGCAAAGTCGAATCGTTTACGAGTACGTGGGCTAGTTCCTTAGAAAATGGATTTATCTGTGATGAGCTAAATAATTTCTACAATGTAAATGTAAATAATTTCTACAACTACGAAGAGATTTTTTTACTTCAAAGATCTTCTTACTAACATCTTCGCGTTATTCCTTTCTTCTTTGTCTAAGAACATCTGCGGAACACGTCGTATAATTATTTTCCATCTTTGAAAGGAAAAATTTTCATTAACGAACGATCGTGCCTCCTTTTTTCTCCATTCGAGTTTGACAGATTCCTGAATAATCAGTTCATGGCACCGATGGGTCAGCATTGCTGAACGTAGTTAGTACCTACTTTAATTTTAAGAAATGCTTCTTGCCGAAACTTTTAAACGCTTATAACATCTTAGAAAGTTGGAGAAAGGAGAAAAGCTCGATCGATTTTCTCGATGAACTTTATAAATTACTTAATACCTCGTTGTCTAATATCGATGATTCTTCAATGATGCGCATCTTAAAAATCGACAGCTTGACGTTTAATAACTGCTCGAAAATAACTGGGGCTATGTCTTTTGGCAGGCGGTACGCGATAGGTACGTAGATAAATGTGATGTTATTTTGAAACATTGGCTAAATCGACCGTATATTCCATTTAAATGAGAAAAATGGACTAGAAATTAAACATAGAGAATTACTTGTCTATTTCGAAATCATTTCTCGAGAAAAAGATTTTACATTTGTTTTCGTTTAAAATTGAAGCACAATGTAGGACACACAGGGGAACGATAATGGAATTCTAAGAAAAATATAATGTTAGTGAATTATTTTTAGGGCAAATAATCTGAAAACGAAGCTTTAGTCGGTCCGAATTTTTGGATAATAATTGAATCGTATCCATGGATAAACTTGAACGAACCATGAATACTTTCTGCGTTCAAGTTTGTGTTATTTGTTTTTATCGGAGATTGATAGATATCGATTGAAACGTCTTGTTCATCAGACGACGAAGTAGTCTAACAATGCTTCAAATCGATCGACAGATTTGTCAGGTATGTTCTATCGGGACATGAAATCGAATTGGAATCCTTATCGTGAAATATGGAGATACCTTTGACGCGAGGATATATTTTTCTGACGACGTGTCAATAAATTGCGACGCATTGAGAGTATAGAGAAAAAGAGAAAAAAAAAAAAAGAAAAAAAATGCAAAAAAGAAGAAAATGACAAAATGGTGAAATTTATATCCTAATGCTCTAACGAGTAATCGATAGATACTCTTTCTCTTTTTTTCTCGAACATTTAATAATAATGATCGTTGACCAACTGTCTATAAATAAATGGACAATAAAATAAATTTGAAGGACGGTGTTTCGATCGGATTTAGTCATATCGATAAAGTTTAACTTATTCGTTTGCCTCCAAGGACGCAAAATTAATCCTGTCCTTTTGTAGATATCGATCCTTATGGAATTTCCTAAGGAATTTCTGCTTCGCCATCGTTGACCTAAAATGATCCGTCTTTGTGTCTCGCACAACTATACAGATACATACGTAGTGTATCTCAAAACAGACTTTTTCAGTTTTCAGCTTCCTTATTATTATAAAAGAGAGAAAAGAGGCCTGAGGGTGCTTCATAAACTTCGTAATAAGAAAATGAACCGCGTGTTCTGGACTTGTTGACTCTCTCCTATTTCCATTGTTCCAAGTACTTGGATAAATCAAAAGAATTCCCTTGTTTAAGATTCCCGTAAGAACATTCCTATAACGCGAAAATGAAAAAGCAATGTAGGCACGTATGTTAGCTCTCGATAGCACCTCGATAACAACAAATACGTTCCCTCTTTGCAGATGCGGGACAATGCTTTTCTTTTTTTCTAGGTCGATGGAGGATAGCCCGCATCGACGCGGCGGTACCTTGAGGGTATATTTAAGGGTTCTCTCGCGTGCGTTGAACCTTTTCGCTACGCAAAATATTGATTTCGCTTCAAGGTACAACGTTATATCGCTCTCTTTATCTCCATTTCTCCGTTAGGTATTTAAAAATAACCAATGGATCACATCCTTAAACATATAAATCTTTGATAATATTATTTATGAATAATTAACAATTGTATTCCTAGAGATTTAATAGAGATCAGTGAATGTATTATATATCGACGATAGGATCAACGAATACAAAAAGCTATATATATATATATATGTATAAGCTACTTTGACTTTTTACTCCCTTCTTCTTCTCTCTCTCTCTCTCTCTCTCTCTCTCTCTCTCTCTCTCGTGCACTATTATTAATTATCTCCTGCTTTCATCGCGGTCGATCTTTTAGATTTTACTATGATCTCGCTATTATTAATGTCGTGATCTTAATCGAGCAATTATAGAGTATAGAGAATCTTTATGAACAAAAATAAGTTCGAAGGTCCGAAAAATTGTTGGCAATTTGCCTGGCTTGCTTTGACCCTGCACTTGTACTCGTCACCGTCTCGACTCTGGCTCCGCGACTTTGACGCGTCGTCTACGCCGGTCATGGTCAACTCCTTGCTCTTTTCCCACGCGCCGTTGATTTCGCGAGAAAGAAGCTTCGAATAGAGCGCTTTTAACTATGCCAACTCTATCGATACTATTTCTCCCGAGTTTTTCTTATTTAAATGTCCTCGAGATAACGGAATTAATGTCTGTTATTTCTTCAAAGTTCCTAAGCTTCTATAGAAAGTATTAAATAAAAAGTATTTTATTTCCTTTCTTTGCAAGCTTCGTTCGTGGGCGTAAAAGCATGAGTGGTAGATCGATCGATTTAATCATTGCCAGTCATGAGGCGAACGTTAAATTTTCTCATCGCGATACCCATTCGAGCTCGATTATCTGCTTCACTGGGATTGAGATGGGTGTTAAGTTCCGACGAGATCATCAGGATCGATAATCGATGCCTAGTTAATTCCTACTAATTTCCAATTAATGCGAGCTATCGAACAAAGATTTTTTTATCAAATTTTTTCGTATAACGAGCTCGTTAGACGAAGCTCGAAAGAAGGTTTATGAATATTTTTGAAAACAATTTGTTTATCGATCACGATCGATTTTGCTCCCGAGTAAGGTACAAGGTCGCGCGTATGGAATCGCAGGACGTTCGAGCTTGCGAGGAATGTTAACGATTTGGCCGACCACCAAATCGCTATGAACATCTGGCTACTTTTCGCATACAAACTTTTTTCGCTCTTTTTTTTCTTTCCTTTTTTCTTCTTATTTTTCTTTTTTTTCTTTTTTTTTTTTTCAAAACTTTTAGATGGCTGACAATTGATTGCGACGGCCGGTGTTCATTCGTTTCTTGAGGTGGCAGTATAAACCGTAAATACTCTTAAACTGCGATACTTTCGTCTGTTCTCTCCTAAATCAATACGATTTACATGCTGCGTCGGGGTTGGGTGTGGCGTTTGAATATCGGACGATACAAAAAGAGAGCAAGCCTCGTTCTTTGTCGCTTTGAGAGAACGAATTCAATTTTCTCTTCCGTCACCTGAAACTTCTCTTTGTGCGATGATCGCGATCGAAGGGAGCTAACCAATCTTATAATATTATATTAAACGTTCAATGTCGATCGATCTTGCTTTCAAGATACTTTTTCTTTGTTCATCCCGTGCGAATCTTATAATGGCTCGGTGCATAGCGTAAATTTGAAAGTATTACAAGATTTTAATTAACATCCTCAAACTTACTGAAACTTGCGAAGAGGGGAGAGAAAAAGAGAGAGAGAGAGAGAGAGAGAGAGAGAGAAAAGGGGAGAAAAACAATATAAGGGATAATAATGGCCGTGCGCAACGTGTAAAATTCACACACTACGTCCAATTTAGCCCTGACATACATGATTAACGCATGGCTTACGTAAAAAAGCATAAGTTAAAGCGAAGAGAAGCATAACGAGCTCTATATAAATAAACTGGTATAAATCTGACGTGATATTTGTTTAATTAACCTGGATATACCGATCGAAATAATATTATTCATTTAAGCAAGGAATAATAGATTTATATGTATTATTATTTTTCGTATAATGGCGAACATTATTTGAGCATTATATTCGCATCTATACGTGTCTACGTGCCTATAGTATAAATCTACGTATAAAACGGATGATGTTTTTTGATCGATAACGATAGATTATGAAACTTTGAAAAAGTTTCCAATATTTTTTCCTCTCTTTCTCTTTTCTTTTTTTTTCCTTTTTTTCTTTTTTTTCCCTGTCTTTCTTTTTTTTTTTCTTCTTTTGATGCATCGGTAACATGTAATCGTACTCGTCAAAGGGAATATGACCGTTGTACGTAGTGAAATTTTACGCGATAGCCGATCGATTGAACGTTATTACCTAATAATATTATATAGTTAAACCATAGTATTTTGCTTCGTCTTATATTTTTTCTATTTTTCTTCAGTAACAGTATCTACGTTACTCATGGCAAGAAACGACGCGCCAATTCACACATACGATTTATCTCGGGGTCGTCACATGTTCAAGGACGATACATCGAGAGAAAAGATTGGAACGGGGAAGAGTTAAGGAAAAAAAGAGAAATGAAAAGAAACATTGGGAAAAGGTCGGAGAACCTTGAGAAGCACCTGCACTGCGTCTATTTCCTTTACGAAGTTACGTAATCGACATTTCCTTCTCCTCTTTCTCTCTTTATTCTTTTTCTTCAATCCTATTTTTCTCTCAGTCTATCCCGAAATCCTTTCTGAGAGGGAATTACGTGGTGCTTGGGCGCAATCCGAAGAAGGATGATTCTGTGGAAAAATATTTTAAGCCTTCGAATCCTTTATCAGGATCAACTCGTTGAGTTAACTGCTGGAAATGAGACAAACCGTTCAACAAATTGCCTTCCATTATATTCATATATATATATATATGTGTGTGTGTGTGTGTGTGTGTGTGTGTGTGTGTGTGTGTGCGTGCGCGTGCGTGCGTGCGCGCGCGCGCGTATATATATACACACGAAAACGAGTTTTATTTGCGAATAATAAACGTGATGTACAAGGTTTTTAATATAGCTTTCATTTTTGGCTATTTTTCAGAATATTATGAAAATATTTTCAAGATAATTCTCGATTTTTGATTCCCCCATTTCCCTGTATATTGTGATAGACTCACACGAGTGTACGCGCATAGACGTAGGAGACGTACGTCTCCGAGTTTCATTCATCGATTCGAACAGTAGACACTCGGGTAGGTCAATAGAGAGAAGGTGAACTTCGTGCACGTGCATTTGCGGTTGTGATTTACTAACCACTACTATTTTGTCTTTCTGAACAATTAATTGTGAATAAAGGGAAAACGCTTTGAAGATGTTCCATAGCAAATCGTACGTAGTCTGATATCGAGAATGAGAGGGGGAGAGAGAAAGAGAGGAACAGTCATACAATGCAAAAATTAAGAAAAAAAGAAATCTGCAAGGAAAAAGTAAAAAAAGGAGGAAGACAAAACGAGATAATAACGACGATCGTTCATTGACACGAAAGATCGCTTACTGCTTGCACGTAAAAATCTAACAATAAGTTTGGAACGTGTCAGGAATAATATTTAGGCCTAGAGTAGAGCAATATCCTTCACGAGGTTAAATTCTTTCGAGCTTTGTTTATGATGCGATTTATAAGAAAAATTATATATTTTATGTTACATGCTGAATCGCTGAATGACTGCGTTTTAAGACTTTTATGCTTTATTCGCACACGTACGTTCCCTTTGGAAGTAATTATTGGGTAACTAATAAAAATCACTAATAATAATGATAATAATAATACAAATAGTAAAATAAACGTTGTCAACTTTGGATAATTTTTATCGCGACTCCGAAATGTTTCCAATGTTTTTCTAAGGGACCGAGTGAAAAGTAAAATCGAACTATACCAGCTGGCGCATCTTTGAAAGTCTCTCTCTGAAATTGTCGATGCTTCGAATCAAGGAATAACGGTCTCTCTCACATCCCACCAAATAGATTTCTATGGTGAATGCTACGAGCAATGCGAATGTCACGTAACGCGATAAAACATTTCGAGCGTGTTCTATTTTCTTAAGATATATCTCGAAAGAAATATTTTTAAATCAATGATAAAACAAATATTCAATATCTGTCTGTAATGGTAAAAAAAAAATGATCGAAGGAAGGAACGATCGTGATAAATTTCTTTTATTGACATTATTTGAAATATATTTTATACAATTCAATAAGAGTAGAGAGTAGATCTTATTAGCCGTAGTTATTTTTCTAAGCGCAAACATTTGTTTACGATATTACGTGTTTGAAATAGACGGTATTTTTGCGTCGAAGTATGACGATATCGGGGGATGGAATTCAATGTTACTGCCACTGAGCTCGCTCCTTGGGGGGTAGTATACAACATGCGTTCATAATTAACGGCGCCGCGTTCCTTTCGTCTAAATTAACCATAGAAAATGTATGTCTATTCTACATCCCCGTATTCTACGTGTCTCTCTCTATCTCTCTCTCTCTCTCTCTTTCTCTCTAAGTATCTCTTCAACGCAGATCGATCGTTTTGTTCATAATGCAGATTGATCGCGGTTCGACGGATTGATTCGGACGTCGTTATATTAAGGGATAAACTTGAGATTGCATCGAGAAAGTACACGTGTCTTGCGTATGTATGCGCCTGTACGGAACGTAATGTAGTGTATCGACAGAGTAGTAAAACGGAGTCCTCTGTTATCGAGCTTTATCGCGTGCGGTTTATCGCATATTCAACGACAACAAGGTCGCATAAATATTAATTAGAAAGGAAGTACACGAGGGTGAACTCTCTAGTTGACGGAGAAAGAGATGGAAGCTAACGGAGAAGCACGATCTTATTGCGATGGGAGCTTGAATAGTCTTTGGAGTTTGTCTATTTATTTATCAGATTTTTTTACTTTTACGAAAAAAAAAGAAAGAGGAAAAGATAAAAAAAAGATTTATTTTTTACATTTTCTCTCTCTTTCTCTCTTTTCTTTTTTTCTTTTTAATCCGACTTGGTAAATTTTTGATAAAAGATCTCTGATGCCTACGTAGTCGAGGCAGTCACGAGCGTAATCAGCCGGATGATTTATCTCTATTTTTTTCCATCTTCGTACGTGAGGGCATGAGAGTGTAACCTTCCGTCGAATGGATCGTGCCAGGTCACGCTAAATCCTTGGAAGCTCGAAAAGGGTTACGTTGTACGCGTGCTTTCGTATGTAAACCGAGCCACAGGTATTTGTCTATGCTCTCGTGTATTCACCCTATAATGTTATTTCGAAGGATTTCCGTTTACCTATGGTGAAAAATATTCGTAAAGTGGACGCAAATCGTTTGTGACGTAACGGCGCGTTACTATGGGGACAATACGACGAAACGAATAACAGGGGGATATATGAAGAAATCGGAGAAAAATGCGATTGAAAGCACCGCATCGTACGAAACAATGCGCGCGTGTTCCGCAATTGCAATCGCGCGCGCTCTCCCTCCCCCCCCCCCCCGCCTCCCCTACTCCTTCTCTATCTTCGAATAACAGTTATGAGAAAGAGATAAAGAAGAGTGTAGGAGATCTGTAAATAAGCGTCACCGAGCGCGAGAGTTTTTACGCTGAGCGTAGGTGGGTTTAATGTCTAATGAAAACTGTACAAAACTTGGTGCAGAGAGATAGGTAATTAAAAATTATCAGGTCGACGTTAATATTCTTTGAGTACTGGCAATAAAAATCAATTAAAAGTTTAATAAGCTTAATTAAAGGAAAACCATCGAAATAAGTAATTTCATGGAAAAATTAATAAAAATCCTTGGACCCATCATTGCCCGCATTTTTTATTTCCATAACACCCGTTCTTCGGTACAACGAAGCGAAATGGAAACGGAATAATTCTAAGAGGATCGACGTAAGGTTCGATTGATCGGTTCGAAAATCGATTGTTCGTGTGACTTACTCACCGAAAAGGATATTGTTCCTCATCGCGATAATCATACACGAAGGCACAATGAATGTAAGATAAATTCCTTCCTTTGTCGTCGAAGAGATGAAAAATGAAATCGCGTTAGAATTATCGAACGGTAGTTATATCTATCTGTTTATTCTCGGAATCGAAGTATCAGATTCGAAACGAAGGAAGATAGAAATTGAATCTCTTCCGTTAAAAATGAGAAATTTATCGGATAGACCGATCGAAGAACACACTGGTGTGAGAAAATCTCAATAGGAGGAAGATCGCTGATTCGCGTCGCGATGCCGCGTGTCGACTGAAGGCATCGTTTCGTAGCATAGATGAGAGAGAGAGAGAGAGAGAGAGAGTGAGAGAGAGAGAGGATGGGCGAGAACGGACGAGGAAGGACGAGGAAGGACGAGGAACGAGGGAGTAGAACGACGTCGACGACGAGGGCGTATCGGGGTGCGTCTGGTGAGAGTTCTTTTTGCTGGCAGTAGGGTTGGTTGGTATCGGGTTAGAGAGGAAGGAAGGGAAGCGTATCGAGCCTGGCGCGAATCCGAAGCCACGTGGTGCGCAATCGTCGAACCGGTCGACGCAAGAGTCGACTCTCTCTTCAGTCTAAATAGCGAGAAAGAACGACTCGTTGCAATCGAGTTGACGGACTATGCAAGAGAGCGAGCCGGTCTTCGATCGATCCGCTTTTACCCTCCTCCTGCTGCTGCTGCTGCTGCTGCTGCTGCTGCTGCTGCGTGAGGGTGGGAGGGGGAGAAAGAGAGAGTGAGAGAGAGAGAGAGGTCTGCAGGATATGCGGATGAAAGCGTGTAGAGTGCGCTATCGTGAGATGGAAAGGGTCAAAGAGTGAAGTTCAAGGAAAGGAGAGTGACTCGAAAGAATCCGAAGAAGAATCTCGATCGTAAATCGTGGATTCTGTCCACTGGTATCGATGCTTCCCCTCTTTCTCCTTTGCTTGCTCTCTGTTTCAAGGTCAAGCAATTGTAAGTTGTGGGAATCGAAGGAAGGGAAGGTCACAGTGGTACGTACACACACACACACACACATACACACACACACACACACTCTCTCTCTCTCTCTCTACCTCTAGCTCATGTCACGCGTTATGCCACGAGAGAATGGGTGCATGGCGCGTATAATCAGTGTAATTATGATGCGTGGGAAGAAATTTTCGTGGCCACATAGTGTCTATATGATTATGTCGAAAATAACGCTATTAGTTCGATTAACGATTAAAGATTGTACAAATGTATTGGTCGTACGGAGAATAATAACATTCGGAGAAATGGACGATACTTAGAAATTTGAAAGTGACTCGCGGCTATCACACATCGATTTAAATTAAGATTTGGTAGTGTTGCTCTTTTTTTTATCCCCCTCCTCGTCGGTTTCGTCCTCGTCGAGAGAAATGTCCGAGATGTCGTCGGATCTTCCGGCGTCAGTTCTGTCGATTTCCTGCGTTTTCGAGCGTGAACTTCTCGAACCGCTATTCGCACGCTCGTTACGAGCATTCTTCTTTCCGGAGTTTTTGTCTGGCTCGTAATCGTCCTCGTCTTTTCCCAACTTCTCGGGATTCTCTGAACTGCACATACATGCGAAACATTGATTTGGTCTCGTTGACTATTACTACTTTGTTATTGGATATAACTTGCGATTGGCAAGAGAAGAAAAAAAAAAGTAGAAAATTCATATTACAAGAAAACGATTTTCACCTTCCACGTCTTCTGCTACGTCTACGAGATCTGCGTCGATTTCCTTCCGATCGACTTCGAGATCTACAATTTCTTCTACAATTTTTTCGTTTGCGCCTCGCTTCTTGTACCGAACATTCTTCAAATTTCTTCGTCGATGAGTCCACCGGTTCGACTTCTTTATTTTCTTTTTCACGCAAATTCCAAGAATCCTCGGACCCTTTCCTCCTGTATTTCATCGTCGTCGTCTCGTTCGTTTTCTCATTTCTTCGTCTTTGCCGTTTTTCTAGTAAATCAGAGGATACGCGCAGCATCTTACAGGTTGCATCCGTTGGTACGAGATATCCGGACTCGATGCCAAAATCAAGGGCCTTCATTATGTGATCCCTTACTTTTTGTAAACCTGAGAGTTTGACAACACGTTCGCGTTAATGTTACGTATATACGTAAAAGACATTCGATATCTTGGCTTTCGAAGAGTAAAGCTTTCAAAATCATTAATTTAAAGGTTGTTCTACGGCAACGATCGTTTAGTCAGAAAGTTCGTTTAGTCAGAAAGACAGAGAGAGAGAGAGAGAGAGAGAGAGAGAGAAAAAAAGTATAAAAGAAATTTAAAAGAGGGAGATGCGAAAAGGAACGAGTCACCGTCGTCGTGTTCTCCTCGTTTCTCATTGTTTTCTTAAGCGGCCATTCGCTGTCGACGAAAATTAATTACCATCCGATCGATGTTCGTGCAAGAAAGTCCATGTAAGAAGGCTCACCTTCGCTACCCACGCATCCATGTACACAGGACGACAAGCCAGCATGATTCTTCGAGCTACGACGACGTTGTCTGACGGCGTGTAACTTGGAACGATCATTGCTGCTCTTTCTATTACTTCCGTATACCATCCTTCGTTAATAGACGCAACACCTGACGATAGTTTACGCGATCGCTTCTGCCTCTTTCGTTCTTTTCCTCGGTTGCTCTTCCTTTTTTTTCTTCGAACTGAGACGCTCGTTTCTCTTGGTTAAACCTTTTTCTTTCTCCCTTTTGACTTTTTTTTTCTCTTCTTTTTGTTTTTTTTTTACCTGCGCCAAGCTTCCTATCGACCAAATTGTTTTTTGAAGCGCTTTGTTTTTTGCTTAAAATTCTTTTAAGTTGCTGCTGCTGCTGCTACTGCAAAACTTTAAAATAGAAATATTCGTTCGAGAAATATTACGAAATGTGGAGCCTTTCTTTGTGTTAATTTAATGACGAGGTTAATTTCTTTTTTTTTGTGCATATTTGTGTGTGTGTGTGTGTGTGTGTCTGTGTTTTTTTAGATTTAAAGCGCGAGTGTGTCGACGAGAGTAATGAACGTAATATAGAAGAATTGATGCCACTGATTACTGACCTTAAGGAATAAATTATTACCTGAAATATGGGTCACTGGCATGCCATATCGTTATATAGAATATGCGTACACATAGATAATTGGTTTATCCCGTCAGTTTTGTCGTATCTTATTAGCGCTTAAAAAATCTTTACTCGCTTGTAAATTCCGTACGAGAGGTTGGACGAGCAGAAGGAAAAATTCGTGTCCGTGCTTTGATATTTTTTTCAAATTTTTTGAATTTATTCGTTACAAGCCCAAACGCGATCGCGAAGCGTAATTTTGTTTGATAAGGAATTTTCGAACGTTTGGAAGAAAATGAAATGAGAGATATGTAGAACTAATCTAGCCGCGATAAGTTGACTGATTTGTCATATTTTTCTTTTCTTTTTTTTTTTTTTCCTTTCTTTTTTCTCTCTTGACATTCGACGTACGAACAAATAACTCGAAATAAATTGCCAACTTCCGTACGAATGTATGTAAACATTATGATAATGAAAAGCGACGCGAGAGTGATGCAATCGTCGATGGCAGGTAGCCGTACCGAAGCTATCTCGTCTGTCTCGTCTTTACTTGCCTCAGCCTATGTTTCAATTGTTTTTATAGAAACGTCGAAAGTGTGTGACACGAAAAATATCAAAAGTATCTTTAAAGATATATATGTATACATATAAATATAAATATATTTAGAAAACGTTCACTTTGTGTCGGCAATGTGTTACGACGTGCTTTATTATATCCCTTTGGAATGTTTATCCCTCGCTTCTCTTTAAAACGAAACCGTCCATCTGATCCTCGTTTTTTTCTTGACTTTTCTTTCCTTGGCTTTGTTTCTCGACTCGTTTCTTCGATCTGTTAGGAAGATTCGTTGCTTCGTAATCGGACACCCAATGAATTCGCTACGAGACTCCTTTAGTTTATACTGAAACTTTTTCGAACAATTTCTATCATTAAGATCGTTTTTAACGTTTCCTTTCGAGAATGATTTCTAATTCGTCCGATATTCTTTCGAAGATTCTAATCGAGAGTCGATTATTCGATCGTTCAGTTCGTTTCTCGATTTTTCCCGTTCTTAAACGGGAAAGTGAAATTACCGAAGTGAAAGAAAATGTCGAGGCAGAGTATACGTACGATCTTAGAATCGAGCTCGGGTACTAACCTGATTTCCTTCTTTGGCCAACGGTTCGGTTTTTCTTTGTCATTCTTAAAGGGATCCCTAACGATTCTCTTACTTTTAGATCTTTTGAGATTTCGCGAGAACGAGTTCTTTTGGGTCCTTCGTTAAATCGTTTTAAGGCCGTCATTATCGAAATTTACGAACTTGCAGTCGTCTCTTTTGTAATTCTGTGCCGACTCTTCTCGAAGTTGTCGACTTTGGGAGACACTTTGAGTACTTGCCCCTGAAAGTCTGCAGGGATCAGGTATCCTGATTTCACGCCGGACTAGAGTGCCTTACGGATATACATTTTTGCTTATCGTTTATCTGTCGTTTACGATTGATTCGACCAATTCGAAAATAATTGATCTAGATCGGCTTAACGATCGAGAAAACGAAAATTACGAAACCTTCTTCGATACCAGCCTTGATGTAATTCTTAAGGATGAATCGTTTTTGTTCAACAAAGCTTTCCTAGGATCTACCAATGCTTTCCACGAAGGAATTGCTGCTCGCGGCATTCATCGCTTCTGTCAGATTCCTCCAGAGTGCTTGCTCCGGATTCCGAGCTAGCACGTGATATTGAAACACTCTCGAATGGTACCATACATACATATTGTATATCGTAGACTTTGCTTGCATACTCTGCTAATTTGCACTTTTAAATGATCGTTCATATAATACTATTGTTTCATATCATTTTGGTTATGTTTCGTGATATTTAAAAGTTGCCAAATTAGTTCTTGTACGTCGATGCTTTTTCGCAAATGTGGCCGAGGGCCCGCATAGTGACAATTGCAGCACCATCGATGAAAATAAGGAATTCGTTTAACGTGTTTTGCCACTTTACGTACCTTTTCTCTTTTCGTCCATTATGCTCTGACGTATATTTTCTTTCCTTTGTTATACCAACGAAATCGTAGTTGGCATAGCTTCTGAGCAAAGTTTTCAGTTTGAAATTCTTTCTCTTTCTCTCTCTCTTTCTCTCCCTCTTTATGGATGCTAACGAGCTGCCGTACATTTACTATAATCCCTGGTGTTTTCGAGGACGAACTTTCGACGATCTCGCTTTTCTCCGGGTCACCAAGTCACAGATTTATCGTTCTTCGATCGTCGTTCGAGTAAAAGAATCCGGCCACGTTTACCTTTCCAACGTCTCGCTTTGCTTTTTTTTTCTTTTTTTTAACGCGTTCGTGATAAAAATAAAGGAAAAAGTCTTTTCTGTCATAGTATGGATTTTATGGATGGTCGATCGATTCGCTTTGACATTTTTCCAAGGAATAATCTTCTCCTTTGCAACGTTACATTTATTTTATTTCAAATACGAACCTTGAAAAAGGCTATGATTCCTGGAAAATATGATAAATTTTACTTTATTTTTCCTTACTTACTTTACTTGATAATAATAATAAGAGCAACATTGAAGATATAATACTTGGAGATGATTGTTACTCGTTAATTTATGTAATATTATGTATTATTTATGTAAATTTACAGTATAACATGTTCATGTAATATGAAATAATAATAATAATTTGCAACTGTATAATTTGATTCATGAAAAATTTTCATTTAACTTTGTATATATATAGGTAAATAATAATTTATTTTTAGTGCTGAAAGTTGGACTGTTTGATAAATTAAAAGTTAAATTATTAAAATGTGTAACTTTTGTAGTACCTCTGGCGTCATCTAGCGAACGATCTAAAAGTGTCACCGTTCGCGCTCTTCGCTAAACGTTTCAAATTTATCCTTCGAAGTAACGATATTGATAATATTTTTGACGAGTAATACTTCATCGTTATTAATTGTAAATTTATTCTATTTTGTATTTTAATGAAATTTGTTAATCTTGAAAGATTCTTAAGCGAATCCTCGATCCTGTAATATATATATACATATATATACACAAGTACAAATCGGATCAATTAAAATCTGTACAATTGGTGCACTGAACGAATCTCTACGATAAAATATGATTATATATCGATTAAAAGTTTAATCGGTTTAACTTTGGATCGATAAACTAAGGTAATTGATCGTCGGTAAGGAATTTATGTCAGTCCTCTAAATTATCATCCATATAGTTATCTTATAATCTAGTGGCTGATTTTTGACCGACGTTGACTACTGCGGGGTATTCGCCTTTACAGTGCAAACCGTTACCACTGGCTACCTATATCTTTGGAGAGATCACTAGACGTTTCGCGTTTCTATAGAGTAAGGTATCTATATTCTCGCGCTTGGGTCCGATCAATACTTCATGAGTTTCGTCCGGCTGGGAAACACATTGTGGCTTGTGCGTTCGCGTACGAGTACACGCACACGAGTTTCGACTTTTCAAATATGCCAAATAAATAGAATTGTACTGAAAGAATAATTGTCGAAATGGCGACTAGTGATCGAATAGTTCCTCTTGTTCTTCCCGATGGGGCGTGATGAGCGTCGAGTGCTTTTCAATAGGCAATATGCGTTCCCTTGGTGAGTGATTAGAAATATCCAGATAAACCGAAAGAGTTATTCTTTTTAAAGATACTCCAAGATTTATCATATTTTCGGATCGTCGCTATCGTTTCGTCGATCGATTAACAAAGATGAAGAGACAGAACGTAAGGACTCTGTCCCTGGTAGTGTGTACATTTATTTACCTTTTGATCGGTGCTGCGGTGTTCGACGCACTAGAATCGGATACTGAAAGAAAACGCCGAGAATTTCTATCGGGTAGGTGAACGATTTAACGTTTAACATTTTTTTCTTGATTTACCACGGGCACACGATTTGACACGTGAAATCATCGTCTTAGATATACGTCGTAACATGATGAGAAAGTACAACATCACCGAGGAGGATTATCGTATGGTGGAGATTGTAATAATCGAAAATAAGCCTCACAAAGCGGGTCCTCAATGGAAATTCGCTGGTGCCTTCTACTTTGCTACGGTTGTTCTCGCTATGATTGGTAAACAATATGATTATATGTTTTTATTCATCGTTTGGTCGCATTTGGCATATATATATATATATGTGTATGTGTGTGTGTGTGTGTATGTGCGTGTGTATGTGCGTGTGTGTACGTATGCCTATATTTGCATATCGATTATTCGGTTGGTTTACTTTTCAAGGCTATGGACACTCCACTCCCGTCACTATAGGCGGCAAGGCCTTTTGCATGGCGTACGCTATGGTGGGCATTCCTCTTGGCCTGGTAATGTTTCAGAGCATTGGCGAACGTCTCAACAAATTTGCCTCCGTCGTTATCAAACGAGCAAAGATTTACATGAGATGTCAAAAGGTCGACGCTACGGAGATGAACCTAATGTTGGCGACTGGATTGTTATCCAGTATAATTATTACCACCGGCGCTGCAGTATTTTCACGTTACGAGGGTTGGAGCTATTTCGATAGCTTCTATTATTGTTTCGTGACGTTAACCACCATAGGTTTTGGAGATTACGTTGCTCTGCAGGTAGATTACTTCCGAGAAATCCTTTAAATGATAAATCTTCCAAACGTAAACAAACAGGCGAAACGTTTCTCCTTTCTTTTTGTTTTTCAGAACGATCAAGCGCTTTCAAACAAGCCAGGATACGTCGCCTTAAGTCTCGTCTTCATATTATTCGGTCTGGCAGTGGTTGCCGCCAGCATAAATCTCCTCGTTCTTCGTTTCATGACAATGTAAAAAATAATTGATCGTTTATCATTTCAAGAGAAAAAAAGCAAATCTCTCTCTCTCTCTCTCTCTTTTTTTCTGTCTTTATTCAGGAATACCGGCGATACCCGTCGCGAAGACAACGAATTTCAATTGGCGTCCGATCACGTCTTGAACTTGGACGACGAGGTAGTTGCTGTGAACGGGAAACTTTTGTCCAGTCACGTGCCAATAGTTCACGATACGGACGACTGCGTCAGCGTTTGCTCCTGCACGTGTCTTGGACCGGCCAATTCCGAATTGTTGGATTCTACGGGATATCAAGGTTACAGGCCACCTTCGACCACGGCGAGCTTTCGCGTTAAGCGCGCATCCGTCTGATGGAAGGAGTTTCGTCGTCGTAGTCTACGTCGTCGACTTTCCAAGGCCGACAGCAGGGAACTCCTCGGTATCGATGTTTGAAAGCGAAGGAAGAATCGACGAGATAAAGATAAACAACTAATAAAATAAGCAACGAGTATAGAACACTGCCAAAGGACAGATATATTCAACGATAATCTCGGGAGAGGGTGATCCGAAATAAAGGAATCGTAAGACTCGTTAGATAAAGGAAATCCTTTATGCGCCCTATTTAAAAAATAAATATCGTTGTATAGTTATACAGAGAAGCGCCAGATTCGGCTTACTTCGTGAACTTTCTTGAGTGAACCAATGCGTAACGTGTTGGTAATGTAATATTCGACGTCTATTAACGTTCAATGATAATAGAGTTATCTGTTTCACGTGTACGATTCTATTTAATGAATGTTACGTGTACATTACCGGACCGGAGATCGTATTTTTTCTATGTGATTTGTAATTAAACACTATAATAAATTTAAGTATTACAGTAAGACTGAGGAACGATACGAAATTGTTAAATCGAAAGGAAAACAAAGCTAAAAATTGGTGGCTGTTAATAGCATGCGAGGGATTTCCATTCTCTATAGGATACTTTCTAACTGTTCGTAGCAACGTAAGCTACGTTGTCTAAAACGTCTACGTAAACAATTATTAGAGTTTATATCGTTCTGATATGATCTATCGCGTATACATTATAGAACGGTTAATGTTTAAAAAATATCTCGTTTAGATTACGAAGATTCGTGAAGGCATGCACTTACAAATGTACTTATGCTATGCGCGTGTATACGTATTTGTATAAAATATTAATGAAATCGATCGTATTATAGCGATATTAATAGAGCACGCGATTAGGAAAAGAATACTTCTTCCTCTGTAAAATGGTCTTGGTTTTGAGTTTTTACGACTATTCATTGCCGAGATATCGCTTTCGAAAGATTCCCCCCATTCATAATTCATTAATTCATTCATAATTCATAATGCACGATGTAGCGGTAGTAGTACCGTAAAAGACCGTTTATGTTGACAGCTGACTCTTGTAATATCGCGCGTAAATTCCAAGAATTTATCTAGGTCACTGGGCCGACATGTCCATTTTAGCCCGAGATTATATAGGCCAATGATGAATCGGAGTAAGCACCTTTTAAATGGGGAATATCTTTTGGAACTATATCTCTAAGACTAAGACTCGTAGAGACATCAAACGAATACCGTTTTAAAGGGCAATTTTTTTTTATACACTATTTTCTCGTCATACTGTTATTACGAACAATTTCTTATAAACAATTTGTTATTAACAATTTTCATAAGCAATTTTTTTGTCTCTTTCTTTTGCTACATCGTGATAATGATCATTGAACGATACTTCGTTTGACGATACGTTGAACGATACGTTTGAAGTAATTTTTCATTAACAATTTGCATGAAAAATTTGTTATATAAATAATTTATTACATAAATAATTTCGCAGAACAGATCTTTTTTTCTTTTTCACTATTTCCTTTGTAACATAAGATAACGATGATTTAACGATGCGGTTAAAACGATTTGCTATTAACAAAAAGCCATTTGTTATAAAACAATTTTCATAAAAAATTTGTCGAAGCGGATCTTTTTCTATTTCTTTTTCCGCGCTTGTAATGACCATTTTTTTTTTAGGGAAACAATTTTTCAATTACAGCAATTTGCATAAACAATTTATAATTAATAATTTTTATAAATAATATTTTTATTCCCTCTTTCGTAAGGTAAATATTGATAACGATTATTTTTGCGTTGTGATTAAAATAATTTGTTATAAACAATTTGTTAGAAATAACATATCGTTATAAAGGATTTCTTTAAAATTAAACAAGCATGCTTCGTGCAGTTTTATTTATCTTATAGGATGAGTAAAAAAAAGTATGGAAAGTCAAAAATGGAAAACGAATTTTCTTCTAGAAAAGGAGCTGAGATCCTTCTGTTGTACTATTAATGGCCATCGATCTATACGACGGATATAACACGACCAGTCGGTGCAAAGTTAAATCGGTAAAAGTATTGTTAATAAAATGAATGCCTGAAAGTATAAAGAAAATTTATAACATTGTCGCCATTTCGTTGATAATTCTGCAATGATCACTCGACGCGCTTCACGGCAGTTATAAACGTCCAGGTAGAGTGTTACGTATATGCGTATATTTTTTAAATAAGGTTCAACATGTAACAATAAATAATACCTGACGTAATCTCATGAGATTGGTCGTTTTACACGAGACACGTTGTATACGAATTTACGTTTTCGAATCAATTGAAAGTCGATATATCGAAATGCTTCTGATGTTTTCGATAACCTCCTTGAACATAATAATCCTTGAAACGTGTAATCTCTTTTTCTTAGGGATATTCCTTCGCGATAGAATAAAGAAACCTTAAACATTTCACGATGTCTGACGTCCAAAAAGGGCAAGGTCACGTTTGCGAATTGCTAAGGTCATTGGACGATTGGGAAAAAATCGCCAATTGGTGGGAATGGAAGCAATTAAGGTCCCGATGGTCAAATATCGATAAACGCACACCAAAATGTATGCAATATATGGACAATACGTCGGCAGTAAACGTTGAAAGAAAAAAATACGATCGTCTGAAATATCGTTGGATCATACATCCATTTAGTTATATCAAGTAAAACTTTTTAGACTTTCTAGAAAAATTAATCCACCCCTTTGGCTCGACTCACATACGCGAATATTTTTTATCTTAGATTTTTATGGGAAACTTTAATGATAGTCATTTATGGAATAGCCTTTTTTACAATACCTTTTATGATATCATTTGTCATTATGGACTATGAGGTACTACGTTTGGACAAAGTTAATATATTTATTTATACGATATGCTGGTTGGACATAATTGTCACTTGCATCACCGGTTATTATGATAAGAAAAATATGCGCGTAGAATTGAGACCATTGAAAATAATCAAGTACGATTTAACATGAGTTTACAGTAAACACTGTTCGTGCATTTATTTATCTAATTATTATTTTAGAAAATATTCAAAGGGATATCTTCTGGTAGATATACTTTCTTCCTTGCCGTACGATCACATCACTTTATCTTGGCGAAAACTGCCAGGGAATGATTCCTTTCACGCGATCACATTGATAAATATCTTACCCTTGTTAAAACTGACACGTTATCCAACTCTAAACGATTATATTTATCAATATTTCCTGATGGAACACTCTTATTACCAATTGATATCTACACTTATGTTAGGATTTTACTTGATTATATGGTTCTCTTGCCTGTGTTATCTCTTGCCGATATTGACGTTACATTTTTACAACATTCCATTAACGGTAAGCAACTAAAATTGATTTGCGAACTTTGATCAGCATGAATCGATTTTTTTTCTCTCTCTCTTTCTCTCTTCCCAAGGAATGTGACGACTGTTGGATGATAGGAATAGAAAAAGAAGGTTTGATTGTTAAATTTCAGCATGCTCTCTTTATAGTATTGGAAAATCTTTTAGCGAGCGGCTACGGTGTCTTCCCTCCGAAAGCCGATATTCACGTCATATTAAATACCGTACTGATGATATTGGGTAGATTCGTCGAGTGTTACATCATAAGTGAGTTTCGATCGTATATATCCATCAGTCTATACATTCTTTTTTAACCTCAGTTATGTTTCTACACATAATGGAAAATAGCAAAGCAGCGGAAAATAAATATAATGAGATAATTAATCAGATAGGAGCATATGCGAGACAAAAACAATTGTCGTTGCAAATGAAAAATCGGATTTTGGAGTACTACAATCATCGCTTTAAGAATAGTTTTTTTCACGAAAAAAATATTCTAAACAATCTTTCAGGTTATTAAAGAAACGTTTTTTTTCCATTGTAATCTTTTGCTATACCATTTATATATATTAGTCTAAGTGTCAAGTTACATCTATTGATTATAATAAGGTATTTTTAGAACGATTACGAGATGAAATCGCTATGCATTCTTGTCGACAGTTGGTCGAAAATGTGAAACTCTTTAAAAATATACCTCAGGACGTTTTAAAGTCTATCGTTAAAAGTTTGAAATTTGAATTGTACTTGCAAAATGACATTATCATAAGGGCCGGCACACTGGGGAATTGTATGTTTTTTTTGTCCACTGGAACTATCGCCATTTTGACGGCAACTGGACAAGAGGTAAAAACATCTATGATTCTATTTAATGATCAACATGTTAAAACTAAATTTAGATATGCCGTCTGAATGATGGCGCTCATTTTGGAGAAATAGCACTTTTAGCGCCTGATCAGAAACGAGTCGCGTCTGTGATTGCTGTAGAAGTTTGCGAAGTTTATCGTCTTGATAGGAAGGACTTTCGAAAATGCATTGCCGTTTACTCTGAATTATTTTCCATGATCGAACGTATAGCTATTGAAAGAATAGAGAAGACTATGTTAACAGAGGAACATCATAAAAGATTTATAATGCATTCAAGCTTTATGCACGATGGAGCAAGAAAGAAGGCAAGAAGAAAATCGAAGAAACAATGAATTATCAGTCTGCCAATACAATACTCTTTTATATTGTATCAACAGATATACAATAATAAAATAAAGTTAAAGCTTCTTTAAATTGCGCGGGAGTGTCTGCCTTCGTTTTTCCTTGCTCGAAAAATAAGAAAGAAGATTATTCGTATTTTCGTAAAACTAATGTATATGTATTTAAGGATATTAAAAACTATTATCATTATCATTATTATTATTATTATTATTATTATTATTATCATCATCATTATCATTACTATTATTATTATTATCATTACTATTATTATTATTATTATTATTATTTTTATTATTATTATTATTATTATTATTATTATTATTATATTGTATCGTATTGTATTGTATTATATTATGCTATATTATGTTATATTATTGTCCACATAATGTTTGTAATAGTCACATTGGTTGTCTACTCTTTATTATTTTTCTTCTCTTCTTTTTTTCTTTCTTAAAATCAGGATATTAATCATCAGGATATTATCTTTCACTTTATAATCGTTATCATTAAAGAGCGTTATACGTGACAATAGTATTCCGAGTAAAATTAACTTTTTGGCAAATATTTCCTATCAAATAACCATAAGCTTTTTTGTATTTTATTGAAATCCGTAGCGTCGATCGTGATGGGATTCTTTTTATTGCCAATGTCTCAGGATTGCATTATAAATAAGAGGATAATCTTCTTTTTTTCTTTTATTAAGAAGAATAGAAAGAATAAATTTATTTATATCCGAACAGAGAGAGAGAGAGAGAGAGAGACAGAGAGAGAGAGAGAGAGACAGAGAGAGACAGAGAGAGAGCGAGAGAGAGAGAGAGTGAGAGAGAGAGACAGAGAGAGAGAGTGAGAGTGAGAGAGAGAGAGAGTTTCTCGGATGAGAATACATACATGCAAGCGCATAGGCATGTATGCGCTTGTGTTTATTTACGTATGCGATGATGATGATGATAACGATCCATCAAATATATATACATATATATATGTATATGTATATATATATTTATTCGTCTTATGGTTAATAAATGCGAGGAATGTTCCAGATTATTATCGTAACCACAATAAGTTGTTTCTAATGCAGAAATTAATAATACACGTTACATCACGATCATTCCCTTCGGATTTAATAATAAACACAAGAGGATTAAGTCCGTCAAAGATCTATATAAAAGATTTATAATCCGAGAGTAAGAGTTATGTACATTTATGCGTAACAATGCTATTAAAAGAGTGAGTATGATATGAATTTTACACGCTCGACGATACGTAAATAACACGATAATATCATAAATTACTTACGTTAAAAGACGAACTAATAACTGTACGCGTTAACGTCTTACCATTATCCTTTCACATACTTATTTTATCCATTTACGTTTTATCCTTTGTATTATTTTTCTTATCGACAAAGTTTGATCTCTTTGCAGTTATTATTTTACCGATTATACAACCTCTTTTAGTTCGACTCTTTCAACTCTATTGGATATAAGAAAATCTTCTAACAACGTTCGCTAACAATTTTTGGATTAATAAAAATGCGCGCACTCGTTTTGGTCGTATCTAGAATGATATGGAGAGAAGAGTATTCGATGATAAACGAATTATCGTTTTTAATTCATCGTTTAATATATCGTAACGCAATATATCGTATCCACTACGTTTTGTCGCTGCAACATACCACATAATATATATTTACATAACGATACACGCATATAAATTATATACCCTAATACTCTCTTTCCTGGATATTCTTTCTTTTTCTTATTGTTTCATTTTTTTTTTTATTTGTTCATTTCTTTTTCTTTCATCTCTTTTGTTATTTTTTTCTTTTTCTTTTTTTTTTTGTTTTTTTTTTGTTTTTTTCTTCTTCCTCTAAAGACATCTAATAAGGCACTCTTCTTTGACCGTAACCAAATGACGACGAAAATCGATTAATGATCGTTCGATCTTCTAAAATCGTACGTGCGAAACGTCAATTCCGAGTATGTTAAAATTACTTGTTTTAATTAACTTATGGTTTAACAGCGTATATAAATGTTCTTGGTATGTTTCGGTGGTCGCTCGTCGATACTCTAACGCGTTTTAATGCTCTCGGGAATGAGAATGACATCGTTATTACGCGATTTCTAATACAATAAATAGCCAAGAAGGAACGAATATAAATGCAATACCGTTATTCGTCTCTCTGCGAGAGACATTTGTGACTGATCGATTGACTGATTGATTAATTTATTTTAGATTTCTTAAGAGATAATACGCAAACGCGTGCGACTTAGGTAGGTTCAAAGATGCAACATATTGTAATTCTATTCTTCTCTGGTTCTATTCGTTTACAATGTGAAAAAAAATCTCTTCCAAAGTCATGCGAAAAATGTCGCATCCTTGTTTTACTTATTCGACCGGTCCACGTTATGGCAACATTTGTGTCTTCGTTACAAATAAGTAATAACAATATAATAGATTATAAACGATATATTGTATAATCAACTATTTATATTGTACAACATAACGCTCGTAATATGCATCATACAACTAGATACCTACAAGATTTTGTTGACACAGCGAAGTCATCCCACTGTTATCATTTTTATATTTTCACAGATAAATTGTTCCTTCCCTTCTTGATTTTCTCTGTCACGACGTACGTCTAGCGAAACTTTAACGTTCAAGTGTATTCGTCGTTTATATCAAAATCAAAATAAAATAAGGAAAACTATGAAAAATTCATTATCAATGATTTTGTAACGTTACAACGGCTGTTCGCGTGGATATGTTGCCGCGGTAATATCCTAAAATAAAAATCTAAGAATATTTGCAAACAATCTTGCAAGGAGATATTACGCTATGACGTACATACATACAGCTACTATAGACTATATAGTTAATCGCAAAGGTTTCACCGAATGCCTTTTTTCAAAACTCGAAGTATCAAATCCGCTTACGTCGAACTCTGTCGGACTAGTATTCAGCGTCAGACCGTATATACATGGATGAGAAAGTTGAAAGGAAGAAAAGGATGGACAGACGGTTGGATGGATAGAAGGAGAGAGAGAGAGAGAGAGAGAGAGAGAGAGAGAGAGAAGTAGGGGGAAGGGGAAAGAAACGGAAGAGAGAGTTGAAAGTAATGAAGGGGGAAGATTGGACGAGAAGATCGACGAATGATTTTTCTTGAGTACACACGCATCTTCGCACCATTTAAGTTCTTCCAATCATTTTTCCAGTAAATATATGTATATATCTGTGTGTGTGTTTTTTTTGTATACATATATATATATATATATATATATATGTATGTATGTATGTATGTATATATGTATATATTATATATCTATGTATAGACGTTCTAAGGCTTTGGCAGTGAATTAATGCCGATTTGCATAGCGTACGCGATACGCGAAGGTGCTCGTGTTATAATCATACCTTTCTCATTTCTTACTTTCGCCAGTGAATGTTCATATCAAGAAAGATTACGATCGTCGTCCATCGTCTCGAATGAATATGATATTAATCTCGAGTATCATCTTAGAATATCATTCTTTTTCTTCTCAAGTTATCGAGGTGCGGTCCTCTTGATGGCAATTGGCCATCCTCCGTGCAAGACCGACAACAGAATTTGGCGTAATACTTGTGCCTGCAATAACGCGCCATCACGATCAGATCGCACTTCGCGAAGAAGCTATTGTCTTGACAATTGGGATGAATAAATATGCCTGTAAGGAAGAAAAAAAAGAATATGCTTTTCGTTCTTTTATCACTGTTCTCATTTTGCAAAGTAAAATATACAAAGTGTGATAGTTTTCACGTTTGTTTTTTGTCTTACCAGCTACGAGTATATCTACGCTGTCAGAATCAGATGTGTATTCGTTCGTTGCCTCGCATCGATAACGGCCCGAGTCGTCTTTGTTCGCATCGGCGATTATAAGCCTGTTTGCTTCTACAATGAAAAAATTATATTGGTATTGCGTTATCGATACTCGTCAAGCATGTATGTAAGTAAAAATATACAATTACTTCACCTATCATCGACCTTTCTTACCGGATATTTTCACTCGATTGTTCGTTTGAATGAGATTATCGTCTTTGTACCAAAGTACTCGTGGTATTGGATAGCCGTCAATGGCACAACCAATGCTGATGTCGCTACCTTCAGGAAATTGAGCTTGACCTACCGATACGGTTACGTTCACCGGTACTGCGTCCGAAAGAAATATGGATATTACAATCGATAATATGAGAGTTATGAATTAAATCGAATAAAAAATAATAGTAATCAAATTGAAAGAAAATTGTGCTATGCGTCGTATAAGATAATAGAATACAATACCTCGTTCGTGATTGGCCACAAAACAAAATACCTTCTAAATAATAATTACATAAGCGATTAGCAAACAGTGAGGCGCATGCGTCACATGACACGAGCAGTGCGTGAAAAAGAAAAAATTTGCGTATAAAAGCAAAGGAGCTAAAACGAAAAGGATAAAACGAAAAAAGAGAGATCGAGAAATAAGGAGGCCTCACCTTTGAATTTAGAAATAACGGGAGTCGTTAGAGTCGTAGTTTCGATAGGCGTAACGCGAAGAATGTGAGGTCTTGTAGGCTGAACGGGTGCAAATGTGATATAATCAGGTGAATGCGTTCTAATGGGTCTGTAAGGATACTGAGGTTTTTCAGTGACCGGTCTCTTTGGAGGTAGGACTATGTATTTCATGTAGCTCTTATACTCCGGTTTGATATTGTAGATTGGACCTATCGTTTGCAAAGTGACAGACCAAGAAGCTGGTCTGTCGATGCCGTTGTAGGCCTGACAAGTATAAACACCAAGATTAGTCAGGGTCACCGAGCGTATTAATAGGGTGTAATCAGTGTCTTGCTCATAATTCTCCGAACTCAGTGGAAGCAAGTTATCGCCACGCCACCAGGTGACGGATGGTCTCGGCCAACCCATAGCGTAACAACGAAGGAGGGACGGTGAATTCATTGTCACCGTCACGGTTGCGTTCTTTTCTCCAACGATGGCCGCGGAACGTTCGTTGGGTTCTACGATGTGCAATTAAAATAGCGTGCGTCATAGGGCGCTTAGAGGGTGAAAGGTAAAAGAATCGTTCAATATCGTAAGAAAGATCGAGCAGTTAATCGTAAAATTAATGCGTCGAGGATTATTGTTAGAACGCGCGTGAATCGTCCTTTCACTTCATTTTTAGTAACAATCCATTCCCCTTTCATAAAGATTCCATGCCTATCTTCCTCAAATAACTTTCAAATAAATTTAATATTTAACGATTACCGTTCTCGCCTCGTCGGTTTGTTTTTCACTTACCCGTGACCTCCACTTGATACTCTATCCTAACTGGCGGACCTACGCTGTTATCGGCGGTACAAATGTAAATTCCTCTATCGATCGTGTATAAGTTTATGATCTGAAGAGATCCGTCAGCCAGTATACGACGCCTTTTCTCCGTAGTACCGATCTATCGAAAGTGGAAAGGATGGATCGATCGATCAATTATCGAGCCTCTTCTACTTATATCTCCGATCGAAAAACGACATACCAGGGTCGTGTCTTTCCTCCAAGTTATGATGGGAACCGGATAACCCGTAGCTACGCATTTCAAGGTAATGTAACTACCCTCTTCGCCGGTAACATGCGATTGTTCAGGTTGTTCTATTCTTACGGGTTCGCCACCGTACTGAGGTGTAACAGGTGGCGTTACGAAAAGCGACGGCGTTGTTATTGCTTGCTCTAATGCTGGCTCCAAACAAGACGTGCCACAACCATTGTCGCAACACTTCCATTCTCCTGTACAGTCGGCATCGGTTTCGCACTCGCGTTCGCACCTAGTGCTGTTCGATACGGTTGGACAACGTCCAGATTTGATAGCTGAAAGGAGAAATATGTTGACGATATATTTCTTCGATTAACAATCATCGATACGTTTCTCGATGGTCACTCTACTTACTTGATCTGCAAACGCCATTGTATTCGGTTCCGTCTTTAGTACGGACCAAGGTAATCGAGCACTTTGTTCCCTCAGGGCATATTTGCGTTCTGCACGGATCAACGCAACGGCATCGTTCGCAGTCTTGATCGTCGACGTACGCTTCCTTGCCGTAAGGACAACGAATTAGATTGCATTCCTCCCGTGCCTCGATGCACGGATCTTTCGTGTCTTTTTCCGAACTTGTGTCGATTTCGTTGTCAGCTGGAACAAAGTCATACTTTTCGTCGGTCCTTCTTTCCTCGGTAACTTATGTATATATATATATATATATATATATATATATATATATATATATAAAGAAGAAAAAGAAGAATAATCATAAACATGTGCGAATTTATTTACAGCAGTTTGTAAAAGGTAAAACGAAAATAAGTAATAAGTAGGAATAAAAGTTTAATCGGAGTTGATTGCTTGGTGGATCTGTGAAAAGGCAAGTGTAAGAATTAATAATACATACAGCGAGTATATAACAAATATTTACATAATGTTTTTAAATAAACGTATTCTCTTACGACGATATTGTTACATTTTAAAGCTTTGTTTATATAGTTCCAAAAAGAAATGTTTTTCAATTGATATTGCTATAAGGATGACTCCTGCGGGATAAAGTTTTTCTCTATTTACGGTCACTAAGCCAAGAGAAAAGAAAATGGAAAAGCAAAAGTAAAAGCATAAGTGGTATAACCTATATTTATATCATGACTTACTCCTAAGACAAGTGTTAATGCATGATTCGAAGGTTTTGAATCTGTTGCGATTTCCACCGCACCCGGTGTAAATAAATGCTCTGCAGGTTTGATATTCTTCGTCGAAGTAGAATCGTTTTGAGAAACCAGTATTGCATGATCCACTGTCAACTGGTTCTTTACAGATGGCTGATCGCAAGATTAGATGTAAATAAATAATCACGTAACAACGACGTAAGACCCTATCTTTGATCCGAATCGTCTGATTTTCACGATACAACGAGAATTACAATTCTAAGAACTTACCTAAATGAGATAGAATGGTGTCGTTTCCAACGGGAGCAGGTTCCTCGAGATGAACGCAAAGTGACTCACATTCCGAGATCGTACTGAATCTGTTTGCGTTACCATCGCAACCGCCATAAATGAATTGCCGACAAGCACGGATGTTTTGATCGTAAAAGTATTTGGAGAAGCGGGCTCTGCATGGACCCGGATCCACCGATAGATTGCATAAATCTGAAATTTGTAGGCATGCGCGTTCTAAATTATGAAGAAAATGTCATTTCGTTGAGGAAAGAAATGTTTGTAGGATGTGCCCTATTAAGATGTGGCATTTAGGGACAACATTTCGTCGAGTTACCTTGTCCGCGGAATTTGCCGCAGAGACGTTCGCATTGTTCTTCCGTTTGGAATCTATTGGCGTTCCCTTCGCAGCCACCGTATATGAACGCTTGACACATGCTCGTTCGAGAATCGTAATAATAAGCGGTAATGTCATTGTTACATGGTCCAGCGTCCACAGGTGCTTGACAAATTGAGCTACTTGGCGCGATCTCAGTTTGGGAGGTAGTTGCCATGGTAGTAGGTTGAATTTTTTCTGTAATCGCAGCCGGCTGTATTTTGCATTTTCTCTCGCAAGATTCTCTGTCCTGAAAACGATTCTTGTTGCCCTGACAGCCGCTGTATTCGAACTCGTGACAAAAGTCGTCTCGACGATCGTAATAATATTGCTTGACAATGCCGTCGCACGTACCAACGACTTTTGGTAGAGCGCACGGATCTGAAATGTCACATTCATTTAATCGAAATGTCATATTATTCGCTTTACTAACGAAGCAATGGTATTTTGTCTTTTTTTTTTTTTTTATTATGTGACGAAAAGAAAAGGAATACCTTGAACTTGGCCGCATCGATACTCGCACTCCTCGTGAGTGTCAAAGTTGTTTCCGTTGCTTTGACAACCGCCGTAAGCGAACGTTTTGCAAATACCGTCTTTGCTGTCGTAGAACCATTTCATTTTATCCTCGTTACATGGACCATGATAGTTGGGCAAGAAACAATATTCTAGAATAATTTGTAAATATCGTTATGGTGCTTTCTTTTTTTCTTCTATCGATCTATTCGAATGAAAGGGAAAAGAAAAAGAAAAAAAAAAAAAGAAAAGAATGAGCTGCGTCGTTACCTGTTTTAAATCCGACCTGTTTAGGTGGTTCCGCCGTAACCGTGATTTCGCACCTATTTTTACAATCGTCTTGCGAGACGAAATTGTTTTGATTTCCACCGCATCCACCGTAATAGAATTGTCTACATTGTTGCTCGTACGAATCGAAGTACCATCTTTGAGTGTAATTATGGCACTCTCCCAAAAGAGCAGGAAGGAGACAGACATCCTGTTCTATAGATATCAACGATGATAATGATTATCGTTTCGTCTCGGATCTAAGTTCTTGGGCTTTTGATCGATGGATTGTGCAAAGCAGATTTTTCTTTTTTTTTTTTGTTTTTCGTTTTTAAATAAGAAAAATATTTTAGAAGAAGCGACAATTGAAAAGAGAAAATCTTACCGATTTTAGATGGACAATCGGCCGTACATGCGTCTATAGTAGGGAAGTTATTTTTATTTCCACCACAGCCCGTGTAATAAAACGGCATGCATCGATTCTCTGACTGATCGAAATACCATCTAGACTGCTTCTCCGTGCAATTACCCTCAGCCCGTGGCAGAGAGCAAGAATCTGTTAATGCATTCGTTACAGCATGCAAAGTTAGTTCTCGTTAAATTTTCAAACGAAAGTGTTAGTACGATCCATAACCATCAAACGATTCAAACATTAAATATCATTGATCCCTCTTTGATCGGGGAATAAAGAAGGAAAAACAAGCAAAATCTTTAACGCAAAGTGTATCCGTACGATGCACATTCAACGAGCATTTCGTTATTAGTTAATTAAAATCTAATAATACAGTTGAATGTGTGAGCTTTTGCAAAGTGTACGCTGCGATCGATTAACTTCAAAATGGTCCTAACGTAGATTTGAGAGAACACCAGCACCATGGGACGTACGACGATACGATGATTGCGAATGGAAAAGAAAAATGAGTTATGTACGATCAGCTGCCAACACCTGGTATTACGACAACGATATTGCGATGATGATCACGTTAAGCGACAAGCTTGTTTTTGTTTTACTTTTCCTTTTCTTTTGATTGCTCTTTGAGTCGTCTTTCTTTGTTCTTTCTCTGTTAATACCTTGTGACGGACAACGCTGCTCGCAGGCAGCCCGCGTACGGAATTTATTGCCATTGCCTTTACAACCGCCGTAAACAAATCGACTACAAGTACGACGGCTTGAATCGTAATACCAACGCAATACAGAGCCCGGACATGGCCCAGGATCTTTCTCGAGGGCGCACACATCCGCTAGGGGCGCTGGAAAATTGATTGATTACTGCTGACGACTATGCTGATTCTTCGTTAGATGACATTCTGTCTAAACGAATTCTTATTTATATCCGATATAATTGTATCTGATTTAATATGCGAAGCTTCTTTCCGCTCCTTTATTTTTTTCTTTCTTCTTTTATTTCGTCGTTTCGACGATTAATAATAAGCTCCTTAATATATTTAGCTATTTGGAAAAGTTAATTTTTTCGAGTTGGTTTCAAAACCTCAAAAGAATCCCCGTGATAAGTTATGCATCAACTACCATAACTCTACACCATAACTCATGTTAAACCCGAAGAATTATATTTAATATCGTATCGAACGCGTTCGTGGACGCTAATTCAAAGTCAATCTCATACCGGTGTAACCGCAATAAATGTCATTATAGAAACTTACCGCGACTTCGGCCAGGCTGTAAGCATTGCTGATGACACGCGAGCTCCGTTGGGAAGTTGTTGTCGTTTGCCTTGCAACCGCCGTAATTGAATCGTTCGCAAGTTTGCAGAGTCTTGTTATAATACCATCTAGTGAAATTGCCTCCGCAGGGACCGGATTCCTTTGCCTGATCACAGGGATCTAAGATCAAACCAGAAATATATTAATCTTCGACGTACAATCGTCGACTTCTTCGTTCTGAAAGATGATCTTACTGGTCCCTCTCCCCTCCCCCCAATTGTTAGATCAGTCCTCGATATAAACTTCAGCAAAATTTCTATTTTATACGATACCAATGTCATCGGGAACGACGCAGAGCTCTTCGCATTCCTCTTTTGTTTTGAACTTATTCGCATTGCCAAGGCAACCACCATAAACGAATTGACCGCACTGTTTTCTTCCAGGATCGTAATACCAGGTTGGATAATAACTTTCGCATGGACCGCTGATTTTCGGTAGGAAGCAAGCGTCTGCAAAGACAATCATTGATAAGGGCGTACGATATATGCGTACGACGAAAGAAAATATATAAAAGGAAATAGTAAAGAATCGCCGACGAATGGGTGTTTTATACCTCGTCCTTTGGGTTCCACGCAGACCGTTTTACATTCCTCTTGAGTCTTGAAACGATTGTCGTTACCCTCGCAACCCCCGTACCAAAATCTCGAACAACCACCGTATTCCGTGTCGAAGAACCATTTCACCGTAAACTCTCGGCAAGGGCCCCTGTCTCTTTCCATAGAGCAAGCGGCACCGGGCGTAGAAGGTATAGTTAGACAACCCTCGAAGCTCTCTCCTTGAGCCTCTTCGATGCCGTCCGGACAACAGCCGTACTTAGAAGCATCGCAACTACAGCCAGCGAAGTTGTGTCCTTTTGCCGGAGTTCTGCCGTCGGAGCAACATTTAAACTCTGTATTCTCGCATCCGCAACCTAAATGAGACATTAGCACAATAATATTCGTCGAAGTAATTTAATATTAAACGATAATACGACCAATTACCTTGGCCGTGTGGTCCTTTAGCGATAGTAATACCATTCGGGCAACATCCAAACTGATACGTGTAACAGGGACAGCCTTCGTAATTAGGTCCGGTTGCTGGTGTGAATCGATTCGGGCAACATCCGTGTGTCGTGTACTTGCAGCCGCAACCTTCGTTGTTGGATCCACGTGCAGCCGTTGAATTATCGGGGCAACATCCAAATGTTGAGTACTGGCAACCACATCCGTATAGATCGGGTCCGCGTGCTGGTAATACGTTGTCAGGACAACAACCGTAAGGCGTCGTAAGGCAACAACCTTCCCCGTTCAGTCCGTGAGCCGGAGTCGCGCCATCCTGACAGCAACCATACGTCGTATTCTCGCATGGCATTCGACAGCCATAATTGTTTGGACCGAGCGCTTAGGGAGAAAATGGTTTTCATTAAATTCAATTAAACGCGAGATCGCGATGTGTCCGTGCACATTTTTTTTCTCTCTTCGTTCTTACCTGGCGCTACTTTGTCGGGACAACAATCGAAATAAGAGGCACTGCAATTTTCCGTATTGATAACGCCACAACCCTCGAAATTTGTTCCCGAAGCAGGCCTGATGCCATCGGGACAGCAACCATAAGTCATATTGGCACAATCTTCCTCGATAGCTACGGTCGTGGTCTCGTATTCTTTCGTGGCCGTAGTCGTTTCTAAAGTGACCTCCTCCACCTTTTCCTCCTTGCATCCTTCTTGATCCGGCCCGATGGCCGCTTTTATGCCATCCTCGCAACAACCGTAAGCCGTTACGTTGCAACAACCCAAATTATCTTTACCGGCTGCGGGTGTTTCATTGTCAGGACAACATCCGAATCTGTGGCAATTATGTTAGACTATTACGTTTCACAATAATACTTGCTTTATGTCAATTATTAAATGTCAATTTATCTCTATAAACTTACTCCGTCTCGTTGCATGCTTTCTTGCACCCTTCGTAGTCGTTACCCTCGGCTGCGTTTATACCATCGGGACAACATCCAAAGAGTGATTCATTGCAATGAGTATCAGGGCAACCTTCGTTATCGGGTCCAGTAGCTGGAGAAACGAAATCGGGACAACAACCGTACTTCGTTTCGTTGCAAGTTTTAGGTGTTGGACAACCACTGTGGAATGGACCTTTAGCCGGAGTGATTTCATCGTAGCAACATCCAAATTTAGATACTTTACAAGATTTCTTTTTGTAGATTTTGCATTTTTTTAATTTATGCGTTGTTTCCACGGAACTGACCGTTGTCCAAAACTCGGAAACTGAAATGAACGATATATCATTTCGACAATACGTAATACTAATCAGCTTTTTCTTCAGCTATCTAAATAATACTTACCATGGGTTTTTTCAGTATCGAACTCTGTTTCCTCTATTTCAGACGATGTCGTTAGACCAGAGACGGCAGTCTCCTCGGTCGCTGCAACTTCGCTGGTTCCTTCGGATTCGGTTGTTAAACCGGATATACCGGTCATTCCCGATTCCGTTGTTACTTCTGAAACGATCGACATTCCCGATTCCGTCGTTACTTCTGAAACGATCGACATTCCCGATTCCGTCGTTACTTCTGAAACGATCGACATTCCCGATTCCGTCGTTACTTCTGAAACGATCGACATTCCCGATTCCGTCGTTACTTCTGAAACGATCGACATTCCCGATTCCGTCGTTACTTCTGAAACGATCGACATTCCCGATTCCGTTGTTTCAGTTGCCCCACTAATTTTTGATTCCGTATTATCGGTTGCCCCGCTAACTTCTGATTCAGTTGTAGCACCTGATTCCGTTGTTTCAACAATAGTCTGTTCGGTTTCAGTAGTGAAAGAAGATTCTTTCGTTTCCCCGAATGTGCTAGATTCCGAGGATCCAAGCTCCGTCGTAATACCAGTTTCGATAGTGGCACCGGACTCGGTCAATTCGACTTTTACGGTGCTACCAGTTTCGATCGGTGTTGAAGCTTCGCTCGTACCAAACACGGTTATTGTACTTTCCGTACTTTTTTCGTTTTCCGTTGTTCCCTCAGTATAAGGATCATATTCGTTCACCACTCCTAACATGGTCGATCCTGCAGTCGCAGATTCTGAAAGAATTTGGACATTCTTCCATTTAATACATTTTTTCATTTCCTATCGAAATGATGATATCTCATTTATAAACATTTATTTACCTGGTAATTCAGACGTGACTTTAGAAACAGAACTAGTTTCCTCGCTGATCGTTTCTGACGTTTTTTCAATGATCGTTGATTCTGTCGACTCTGTCGTTTCTTTGGATTCCGTCGACTCCGTTGACTCTGTCGTTCCTTTGGATTCCGTCGATTCTGTCGACTCTGTCGTTTCTTTGGATTCCGTTGACTCCGTCGACTCCGTCGTGTCTGTCGCCGTGGATTCAGTCGATTCCGTAGGCTCTGTCGATTCGGTCACGGTCGATTCCGTAGATTCTGTCACGGTCGTATCCGTAGATTCTGTAGGTTCCGTTGATTCCGTAGAATCTGTCACTGTAGTCTCCGTTACATCCGTTGCACCAGATACGGTAGAATCCGTAAACCCTGTCGTCAACGAGACCGTGACATCCATTGACGTTGTCGTATCGATGCTCGAAAAGAGATCAGAAGATTCGGTGAAATCCGTTGATTTGTCCGTTGAAAGATTTGACGTTGTTAGTTCGGAAGACGTACTATCGGTGAAGTCCTCCGTATTGCTTAGTGACACGGTCGATTCAATTAATTCAGTTGTAGTGTCAGATGAGTTGATCGGTGGTGTCTCGGTAGCACCAGATTCGATGGTACTCCCCGTGTCCGATGACGTTTCTACGACGAATATCGGAGGAAAATTTAAATATCATTTGAAATTATTGTTTGACGGATAAGACGTTTAGCTCACCAGTTGTTTCAGAATCTTCTTCCTTTGATACCCGAGTGACAGGCTCGCTGGTAACAGACTCCGATACTAACGTAGCTCCAGACTCCGTTGAGACTTCCGTACTTTCGCTTTCATCGAATTCCGTAATGGCTCCAGTCTCGCTCGTTTCAACGGTAACTGATTCGGTGTCGGGAGAAGTGCCACTTCCTTCTACGGTTGACCAATCTTTGGAGCTGGGATTGCTGGTAAATAATGTACTGAAAAAGTCGTCTTCACTGCCGAAACCGCTGCTGGTGTAACCGCTCCCAAAGTCTCCTGGAGAGATGTCACCTCTGCTGTATCCAGCATCACTGAACATCATTTCGTCCATGTCATTAGTGATTTCTTCGTTTTTGTAAGATGTGAACTTGACACTCGTTGAGCCTTCGATTACTTTGTATTCGGACTTGGAGCCCTATTATAAATAACGAGTTACTTTTATAAGAATGCTTTCCTAATTCTGCTCTCTCTCTCTCTCTCTCTCTCTCTCTCTCTCTCTCTCTCTCTCTTTCTCTCTCTCTCGCTCTCTCTTATTGAATTAAACGTCCGCAATTCGATCAAGTACTACAATCTTCAGTATCACTTACGCTCACTGCAAATTCAGAACCGACTGTAACGAAGTCTTCGTCCTCGTATTCGTCACATTCCTCGTCCTCCTGCTCCATCAGGGCTTTGCTTTTGTTTGGTTCAACTGGTATAACTTCGTCTAAATTTTGAAATGATGAAAGGAAAGAAATGATGCAAGGATAAATTTTCTCTCATATACCTGTCATTTTCTTATTACCTTCGCCACAAGGATGCTCATTGCAACTCTCTTTCGCGAACATTATCGTACTGATATCACAATTATCAAGCGAAGCCGTCGCGTTGTCCTTCATGCAAATCACTTTACGAGACATATCACCGCCTCCGCACGGTTTCGTACACTAAAAATAACACAATATAAAAAAACATTATTATAAGGAGACCTTTTTTGGATTCAGAAAAAAAAGAAAATCTTTTTACCTTGCTCCAAGGACCGGCGAACCATTCGCCCTTACACTCCTCGTGCTCTATTGTACAGTTCTGCGTGCTCTCGTATTTCTTATCAGGCTCGCATTTAGACTCTGGTACTTTCTTCAAAGCGTCGTCCACGAAAGTAGCGCAAAATACTTTTCGAGTTTGTAAGCCCGTACCACATTTGGCCGAACACTAGGATAATAGAGCAAAATATTCGGTAGATTCTCCCGAGTAGAAAACATTTAGTAATCATCGACGATCGAAATCAGTATTTTTAATCGTTTACCTCGCTCCATTGCGATGCGTACCAACGGTACTCGCAATTTTGGATATCTTCGCACTCCCTGATAAGTTCTGGTTTCTTATCGAGATCGCACTTGTCGTCCGGATGCACGGTGCCGTCTTGAGTGGCGCAATGAGCCGTTCTCGTCTCTTGAGTGAGGTCACATTTATCGTTGCACTACGGAACGATCGTATAGGATAGACGGATAGACGATATAATGGAAATCAAGTAAATGTGCAAGTGCCGTTACCCCGCTCCATTCGGAAACGACCCAGTCGAGGCCCTCGCAAGGTCTCAATTCGCAATGTTTCTCCCGTTCGGGAACTTCACCCTCGCATGCGCTTTCATCCATCACTTCGATCTTACCGTCCTTCTTGACGTAACACGTTATCTTTCTCGTCTGTTTGCCCCCTCCACAGAGATGGTCGCACTAAACGAATAAATATTGAAACAAAAAAAGAACAAAGAAGAGAAAAAAAAGAAGGAAATTCACGGACGCGACATTCCCCTTCGAGTTTTCTACCTTAGAATAATAACTATTAGATACTAATGATGGGCGTTATGAAAAAAAAAAAAATATACCGGTTTCCACGGTCCGAGATGCCATTGTGGACAGTCAACGTGTTCGTTGCATTCCTGTGTGGTTGGGCCCTTCGGTCCGAGCTTTTCTACGCATTGGGAATCGTCGACGATCGAACGTATTCCACCGGCTACAACCTGTTCGCACTTGATCTCCCTGGTTTGTAAGCCGCCATTGCCGCAATGCTTGCTGCACTCTCCCCATTCACCCTCCACCCATTCCGCTGGACAGGGTTCCTCGCTACAGGTTTGCGTATCCTCTGGCTCGAGCTGTGGATCGCAAAGATTGTCGTCTACCGGTTGGTTGTCTCGTCTTCGAACGCACGCTACTCTTCTGGACTGATAACCTGAACGATCGAATTTCGAATAAAGTATTGCGCCGAGATGAAGTATATGATGAATAAAGTATTGCGCCGAGAATAGTACAATGATAAAAATGTCACACCTCCCCCGCAACTAGTGCTACAGCTCGAAAATTCTTCGGTGATCCATGTGTAACTATCGGCGTCCGTATGCGTCGAGAGTTTCTTGGGTATACTGTATTCGTAATGAACACCAACGTTATGATCTTGATAGAGCAACTGCAAGAGAAACGACAACGACTCGTATTATAGAATCTTTGTTATCGTCCAAGTAGATAATTTATTAGGATACTTACGACAACGTAAATCGGTTCGGTGGTTGGCCCGAGTGCCGTGATAATGTCCGGAGCAGAAAAACCTTGTGGCTCTCTTGAATAATGGAAGATCGTACCGATGAATCTCAGACTACGTGGAAAATCGATTCTCCAGTTGCCATTCAGGTAATAATGACCGGATGTATTTCGTATGGCTAGAAGAAGAAATTTATCAATTTTATCGAACTTATCGACTTATCGCCGAGTCTCATATATGTTTATTATTATTCACCCAAGTAATTGTTCGAAGGTTCCAGCTCTCTTATTACGATATTAGTAGCACCCTCTGGTATTAATAAAATATCGATGTAACCTAAAATAAGTATCGGCGATTAAGAGGACTATCCCGGGGATGAAAAAAAAATAAATTATATACGTACCAACTTGTAAGTCGTCATTGTCGAATAAGCCTTGAATTGTGTTACAGTCGGTACCGTTGCCTCCGCATTCTCTGCAAGCGTCCTCTTTGGCATCGCTGCCTAACATCATGTCGCATCCGACCGGCTGATAAGAAAAAAAATATGACGTTGTAATCGTCTTGTTTCGTCATCGAACGAATAAGTTCGAAATACAAACGATTAGAAACTCACCATACACTTGCCTTCGACGCAAACATCGTTTTTCTCGATCTCGCATGGCGTTCCGTCGGTTACGGATACTTTGTATCTATAGAAAAATCTTTCTCCTCGTGGCATACAATTTAATTCGCACTTGTGCGGACTGCCCGTGTACGGGATCCAGCTGCGAATAAAGAAATGGACAAACTAATGCGTTTAATCTTTATTATGCAACTAATCGGCGTTTAGAGATAATCGATTATATACTGACTCGTGAATCACTCCTTCGAAGGGAACATTGTTGAATTCCGCGCATTGCTCCGCTCGGAAATCTTTCGGCTCGCCTGGACACGCCTGCAAGTATCGTAGATCGCTTTTGTTCAACGTCCATCTTCTTGCGCGTTTTCTCGCGAGAAGACGTTTAAGAATTCGGGAACAGTTTGCAGAAATTAGATGGATGACATATATACATGCATATACATATATGTATATGTATATACATATATATATATATATGTGTATATATATATATATATATATATATATATATATATCGGGCAGTCCTGCTGTCGGGGAGAGGGTCGTGGGGCAATGTAATGTCGATAAATCGAGTGGAACCTAAGGAAAAGGAAGAAAAGATAGTCCCGCTGGGACTGGTACCACGTACGTGGATACCGGAGGATTTATGGCGAGAGATTTCTTGCGGACCGAACGAAACCTTGTCGGTGTGGATGGCTACGAAGGAAGGAAGGAAGGAAAAGGGCCTGGGGATAATGCAGGAAGGAACGCGTTGGAGAAAAAAATTACGCGCGGAAAGCGCGACTCCGAAACGCGATGTCCGGGATAACGAATGTGACCGACCTTTTCGTCTTGGATTTTCTATAATAAATTATTTTTTCTCAGCGTGTTCTTTCTTTCTTTCTTTATTTTTATTTTCTTTTATTTTCGTTTTTAACAAAGATTTTTCAAAGGAGCACTTCAAAACAAAAGAGATTTGTTTGACGTTCGAAAGGAAAAAGTTGTTCGCTACGAAAAGAAATCGAAAAATAAAGAAACATGACAACAACTTGGAAGCCTGCTTTAGCGATTCAATTTAGCTACGCGTGTAACGATCGGTCCCATTGGAAGATCAAAGGTTACAGTACGTTAATACCGCGCATTTGATTCTCATTTGGCAGAATTATACGAAGAGGATTTTTCATTAGAAAAAAGTGCGCTACAATGAAGAATAATGTTGGCTATTTAAAAAGTTGACACACCGCTAATATTGAATCCTATCGTGATATCAGTATAAGAAATTGTTCCGATAAACGTATACGATCTTGATGGAAAGTAAAATAAAATTTGACTTACCTGAACATTACAAGAAAAGAATCTCCTCGAGGAACCCGTGCATCTCTGATATCCGTTCTCGCTGTTAAAAAGAAAAAGGACACTTTTTCGTATTATCTAGGGAGAATGTTTTTTTTTTGTTGTTTTCTTATTTTTCCATAAGATCCAATCTGTTGGTCTGGTTTCGAGATTCGAGTTAAATGTTTAATGAGCCGTGTTCTGATATCGCAAATCGTTTGATGAAAAAGTAAGAAGAAGAAGACGGAAAAATATTCGATCGTTCGATTTGTCAAAAAGTAATTCTTGTACACGGTGGATCATCTCGTCTCTGTAGAAACTATTTACTTAGAAAGTATAGAAGGAAATGCTGGTAAGAGTGATCGATGTTCGTCCCGATTACGAGCATCCGCCATTCGCAAAGTTTTTCAAGATCGACGATAATGATGACATGCATGGCGAACATGCACGTTTCCTCTCGACTCACACAGTCTACGTGACCGGGTTGATCTCGTAATCGTCGTTAATTCTCTACTCGAATCCTCAAGCGCTCGTACTTCCTAGCGTTTGCATCTCTAATCGTGAATTTACACTCGGTCAGGATTCGGCCGTTCAACAAGTTTCCACGAAGCTAATGAACTTTTTTTTTTCGGCCATCGGAAAAATGATCTAAATAAACTCTATCCCGACGAGCATTGCTTTACGATCTCGAACGGTCCAATGTTTATACAATATCGATTATCGTTCAGCGAGAACTCCCCCATTCCACTCTCTCCTTCTCTTTCTCTCTCTCTCTTTCTCGTTTTTTGACTGTTTGCGCGCGGTCGTTATTTCCTATCTTTATCGAATGCTACGTTTATATGGATCATAAATAGTTTCTCGATATTCTCAGCTACACCAAGCAAGCACTTAAGCGAGTGTTCTTGCGATATAAATGAAAGCCAATAAAATGTAGTACATGACGATTTTATTAAAGACGGAGTGTCTCGTTAACACGATATACACACGCGCGTACACACACACACACATATATATATATATATGTATATATCGTAGTTTGAAAATATTTGTAATCGTAGAAAATAGCTTCTTAACGTACTTTTGTCAGACGATCGAACGGTAAGACGCGGAACCCTTTTCCATTTATCGGGTCTGAAGTAGTCCTCTCGTGACAATGAATTCAATCGAGATAAATGGGCTTCATCTTTCAAGCATAATAAATAGAATAAATAAGAGAAGAAGAGAGATAGCGTAAGACTCACTCTACGTCGAGACACTGCCTGGTCTGATGAGCGACGCCACCGCCGCAGGATCGCGAACAGGAGCTGGGCATCGACCATGGTCCCCAATTTCCTCTTTCTAGCTCGTCCGTTTCAAGAACGAAGCTGCTCGGTAGATAGCTCTCACCGTGCTGCCGACGATGCCTTCCGTGCCTTAATTTTATATGATGCTGCAACACAGGACCGAGCGAAATTTATTATCCAACTCTGAACGTCTTGTTTCGTGCTACTCGACGGGACGTCGGGAAGAATCTTGGGGTCGCGTGGGTCGGCAAACAAGAGAGAGAGAAAGAGAGAGAGAAAGAGAGAGAGAGAGAGAGAAAGAGAGAGAGAGAGAGAGAGGAAGAGTAGTCTACCAGCACTGCCCGTGAGAACCTTCATGCCGGGCTAACATTTTGCGATAAGTGGCCCCTTATTCAAGCCACCTTTGCTGGGATACTTACCTTCTTCTCGTGTCTACTATCTCCTTCGATGGAAGGGGCTCGACCTTACTACTACAATTCTCTACGATTTTAGCGCGACGAAAATCTAATCTCGAGAGGTGTTTACCCACCTCTTTCTCTTATTCGTTGGTATTAAAACTCGTGTAAAAGTGTGGCGAATGCGTTAAAAACGAAGGATACCAACGGCAGGATAAAGCATGACAAAGTCGCGAGATAACGACGGGTGGAGGGATGCGAGAAATCCGATGTAAGCAAGACCGGCTGCCATTATCCATATTGCGTCGAGGTTGGCTCTCTCATCGAGGGGACTTTTAAAATTGGAGAGGGGGGAGCTCGCGTGCGTTAATCGAGCACCGTGGCCTACGTGAGAAACGTGACGTACATTAGCGAATAGCAATGTTGAGCTTCAAAGAGAAACTTCTTCCCTCGGAGCTTTTTTACTTTCTTCGTTTTTTCGAAAAGGAAGACCTTCAGCGTGTTTCTTCGCACACGAGGTATAACGACAGATGTAAATCTTCGTTTTTATACCGATTCTCTTTTTACTACCGTGGGAGAAAGAGCACTTTGCATGGACTTCCGTGTAGGGAGTAAGAAGACAGTAAAAGTTGATATCCATCTAGTCTCGTTCGCGTTCGGAACATCTGCTTGTTGGTACCAAAGAGCGCCTTTGCTCGCCAGCAGTCTCGTTAGATCGCGGATTGGCATCGTCGATGCGGCGCATAATGCGACGATAATGCCACGTAAAACGATGCGGGTGAGCATAAAACACGGCCTATAAGAAGCGACCGACATACGACAGAGAGGGAGAGAGACGACACGATTTGCCATAGACTAAAGGATCTAGGAGAAGGTTTAGTAGTCGTTAACGTATGCCTCATTGAATCTTTTCTTAGATGCTTTGAACGAAATTAAAATTCGCCGTGAATTTTTCTGAGAATGAGTCACTCCCAAAGATACCACCAGAAGTTTCTATTCTAACAGTTATATCGAAAAACAAAAATTAGGCCCTTCGCCAATTCTCACATTAATCAATGATTAGAGGCTAGAGTCCGCGGTAAATCACCTAATTGAATGGCGTCGTTAAGCGGTGACTAACCGTCGCAATTACCGCTCGCATTCGTTCTAGCGTAAAGCAAGGCAGAGTCGTTATACGAAGAGGTTTACATCATCGGTGGCGTAAAATGAGTAATTTCTGTTCAGCTGGGCGAGCAGACGCAGCGTGACCGATCGTAACGTTAAATTACTTCGCAAGCAACGATGTCAACTTCTCCCGTGCCCTTTTAGACGTCTATCTTTCGATGTCATCGATCATCGAGAGACAGACGAAACGCGCGTTTTCTCAGAAATATTATTATATATTTTCAAACGTAACGAAGGCGAACGAAATTTCATTCATAAAACTTGTTCATTCATCGCACTACACGTGGCAAGTTATCTCGTTGTATCAATACGCGTTAAACGCGTTTTAACAGCCAACCAAGAGCAAATACACGAGTACGTGGGACTCTACGGGAATATCAATATTGAAAGAAACTTAACTCTATTGACTTTTTGTCAGAGTTGTAGCGAAACGCAGAAAGGGACCGGCTATCTAATACTTTCGAGGTGTCGGTAATCGGCCGATTACGTCGCGTCTCGAACGGCATTAGAAACGTAATCGTCCGACCTGCCTGAAGATCGCTCGTCCTGTCTGAAGATAATCCGAACTAATTAATATTCTAACGATAATAGATAATTAACATTGTAATAATAATAATAATACATCGCAATAATACTTTGGGATAACCCTTTAGATTCAAGGAAGAATCCTAAATAGATCGAGACACGATCTAGAACGGACAGATCGCGAATGAAATAGGAACCAAACGGTCGCTGAAAGTTTCGCGAGGGTATGGGCCGAAGAGATAATTAAATGGTTCAAGGAAGTGGGTTTCGAAGCAAGAGGTCAGTCAATGAACCGTGAACGACCGTCGAAACACGCCTTCTTAATAATTGTCATATATATATACTCGTGGTGCCATCGGTTTGACCTCTCGGTGGACGTCCCTTGTCGATTGTATCCCACTATACCTACCATTCCCTCTCTAACTTTTCTCCTTGCCCTTTTTCTCCCTGAAACGTGGACTTCGCGACGTTAAATATATCTTTTTCTCGAGAAACGCAAGCAATTACCCGTCCGAGTAGTAAAACGTTGGCGCATCGAATCGGCGTAATCTCTACTCAGGACGCTCTTATTATTTCGCGAAATTAATAATCGTGCGAGAAATCTCTTACGATTCTAACGCCATTTACGTTGGGCTTGGTGCCGAGCGACGATCCCCGATCGGCTTTTAAAGAGCTCGCTTATTTTTAACGAGAAAGCGCCGAGAAATCGCCTTACGTGAGCGTTAAGAAGATCGATTTACATCGCATCTAATCTATCTTTCTTCTCGAACGTGCCCTCCCGTGGATCACGAGGTCAACGCTTTCTCCGTTAAATACTTCCCGAATTATTGATCACGTTTTTTCACATGAGCATAGAATGAAATTTCATTTCTTTCTTTTCTTCTTCGTGGCAATCGTGATATCAAGTCATTATATAAATAAAAGCAAAAAAATCGAAACGTATATCTACATGTACGATATGGTAAAAGAGAAAGAAAAAATATCAGACGGATCTTTCCTCAATTTCTCTTGGACGTAACCGGGAAAATGATTGGAAATTTTCGTGGTTTTTCGGAGGCCACCAACATCGTTGCCACTTCCCTTTTTAACGAGCGCACTTAACTCAGATTAGCCGTGCTCGTTGATGAGGGTAAGAAATAACCGTAAGTCAGACCGTTCTACGCTCCTTTAATAATCTCATTGATGCTCGGTTATCTCGACTGCTCTCCCGGCACTAAAAGATGCAATCGTGTTCTCCCTCGTCTCCCCCTCCCTCACCCCTCTCTCTCTCTCTCTTCGGCGCTAAGCTTTCGGAGATTTTTTGTTACCACAAAAGAGGGATTCTCACTGATGTCCCGAAAGCTCGGAAATGGAATGGAGCGGAGAATTTTGCGAAGAAAAGAATATTTTGCTAATCCGCATCGTCGAGAGGTTGGAGAAAAAATCGCGCGACAGCAGATAGCCCGACGAATATATCTCTTCTTTTCTTATTTTGTATTTTTATTTATTATCTTTTACTTTCCTTTTTTTTTGTTTTTTTTTTTTTTTTTCAAAGAAACACAACCATAGAAACTTGAACGAAGGATTTCTACGATCCACGTAATCAGCTTTCGCGATGCGCCTACTCCGGGACACCTCTCGTTTATCACTTCTAACGTGTGCGTGAAAGCGGGAGAGTCAAGGTTCACGGATTTCGCGAGGATCGTAAAAATGGAATGACAGGATCCTTTTCCTTCTGCTTTAACGCAACAACACGCAGGCACGTTTAAGTACTTACGTTGTTACGTGTCTACGTAGATACGCGGATAATAAGTTATTTCTTATGTAAGTCCGTACAGCCACGTGTAGATGGATACTTTATAGGATTAGTCCGTTCCTCGTTCTTTATCAACACTCGGTATCAACGCTCGGGGCAAACATCGAACGAAACGATCTTTTTCAAATCATCCATGTTGTTTTCGAGAACGACGACTAAAAGAAACGATCGAATCAATTCCCCTTTCTTTTTCATTTTTTCTTCCCACCCCCGCTCCCTTTGGCTATCATAGACGGATGGATGGAAAAGTTCAAAGGGTACGTTTAAAGGCTTCCGTGTCGATTTGCTACTAACAAAAGTAAATTGCTACGAGATTAGGTATCTGACTGGTTGGACTGGGAAGGGTGAAACTCGAACCGCCATCGGACGAGAATGGCCGAGCAATAAAACTTGAAGGAATGTTGCCAAGGCGCGTTTCGTCGAAGCCCTTGTTGCACCTTTATCGTCAAGGACGAGAGCGTATCGTACCTTCGAACCTTCGACGACGCGAGCCTCGAACATAACCAACGAAGAAAAGGAAAAACGTCGAGAGAAAAGAAAGATACTCACGTATTTGGCAAAAGTGTCGCCGACGTATAACGACGTTACGCACAGGAAAATCACCAACGACCTGAAAATTAACGAGATTTAGTATTCGGTGAGTCAATCAAAGGATTTATTCGCGGCAATATCAGCTGTTACATTACATTAAAACTCCACCCCCCTCCCCCGTGTATAAGAACGTTAAGTAGGAAATACGCAGAGAAATAATGAAAATCGTTTTAACGTTGATCTTCAAATACGCCTTGGATTAATAAATTATATTTCACGAGTTAATATACATGATCGAAGGGATAACGGGCATCTCTTTCTCGCTTTGCGAAACATTGACCCAGACTCCAGATATTCGTATCAACGATGTTGCTCCTTATGGCGAGACAAGTTTCACTTGCAAAGTGGTTCCGCAACTCGTTACGTCAGCGTGGGTAGACAGTTACGCGTTACGTGCCGCGTTACGTCGAAGGAACGCGTTGGCTTTTACACCGACGAAAGCGAAACTTCAATGTCCAATGCCATGCACCCATATTTCCGTCTAGAGAAAAGGAAGAATCAGAGTGGGTCGTCGAACTTCGAGCGATGAGTCGAAATTCGGCCACGACATAGAGAATACCGTGTGATCCTTAATCGTTTTCAAAGTTCAAGTTCTAGGAGTCATTAGGTTCGCGTTAATCGGTCTAAGGCCCTTCCCACAAAATGTTTGGCTCGTCAAAGGAGATTTGGAACCGCATGAATATGTAAATCGTTCTTGGACGAACTGGCCTCGCATCTAGAGCGGTCCCTAACGAGGAACCCCCACGATCCCGTTCGTTAAAAGGAAACGGGTTCTTTAAACTTCTGATTGGACAGGACGAGCTTGACGTTCGGAGCCCAGATCTGAACGTCCAATTACAGGAGTCGAGCATTCGCGAACGAGGACGTGTAAGCTCCTCGTGCCATTGTAAGACTAGTCGACGAAATTTATTACAAGAATATTTCACGTCGTTTTTTCGAGGGAATCAAACAACGATCGAAAAAAGATTTTCATCGGCGCAAAGCCATGCAAATGGTCATCGATTTGAGGAAGACGACCGTAAGACATAGAGAGAGAGAGAGAGAGAGAGAGAGATATAGAGAGAGAAAGAGAGAGAGAGAGATAGATAGATAGAGAGAGAGAGAGAGAGTGAGAGAGAGTTAGCTCTGCATTTCGCAACGTTGCTAATTCGTTAGACATAAATATTCATGAATCAATTAACATCCCTTCAAAGGGATGTGCCTTCTCGGTTCGATCAATCGATTTCCATTACTCTCGGTTAATTACCTATTAAACGGCGAGTAGTAGTTAACCCTTTCTCTTCGAAGACTTTTCCTTCCAAAAATATGTCCTTCTCGATCAAAAATCGTACTGTCCTCGTTCTTGACAAAAAAAAAAATCCGTCGAAAGGTAAAAAAACAGAAAGAAGAAAAAGAAAAGAAGAAAAAAAATGTTCTACGCGAGGTCACGTGCGATTTTTCGCGGATAGTAACGCGACGGTTATGAAATTCGAGCCACGAATATTATCGGATTATGTTCGATACCAGCAGGAATTCGAGTTCGTGCATCAACTTCCCAACGTGCACCTCCCATCCGATGTACCCATGTCCGCAGAATAGATAGCCGTACCATGTCCCCGTAATTACGATCGTTTCAAAAATAAATGGCCAGGCTTAAATCATTATCGAATATCGACGGGAGAATCCTTTATCAGGGATTGTTCTCTCATATAGTATCGTCCTTCGACGATAATGAAAATTTGCTTTTACGAGGAGTAGTCTCATCTAGTTTTCCTCTTTCCCGTATAAAAGATCAAGAATTCGTTCGATTCACCGAGGGAACATATCTCGTATGCCTTGACCCGATCAACGAACACAGCATTGCACTCTGATCGAACGTTTCTACGTCCTACCAGCTACCTAGGTTGTGATTTCCTGTTGAGGCTCGTGCGCTCATACGTATACGTATACGTATTGGACCGTGTTGGACGATGTCGACGGTTCGTTCGTTGAAAAATTTCCCCCTTCGTTTTTCCTCGGTTGGCTCGTGCCCTTTCCCTTTCTTTTTCGAGATCGAACAGATTGCGAGCGTACAAGAGCTCGCGCACCCTTAACGAGGATAATAATCCGTTCGCGAGCCGAACCGTATAATTTTGGCGAATGCACGCGCGAGAAATCGATCGCGTTTTCTTTCTTCCTTCTTAACTCCGAGATTATCTGAAATTACTCTATGCCGAAGAAGGCTCTCGCGGGAAGGCGCGTGCGATGTTTTTCGATTCGTCGTGGGTCGTCTCTTAAACCGCGTCAACAACCTATTATCTTTTATATCTTTTCTACCTCCCGGACGAATTTACGGAAGAATATTCGCGCGATTTACACAAATTCGTCTACGAATTTCTCCGGATTTCGATTTAACGTCGGCCTGCTCGGTTCTACCAATTTAGTCGGCTAACCGCAGAGATTTCTTTTAAATGGTGCTCGAGGTTCGTTAAAGTCCTTTGAAAATGAACGAACGAGCGCACTCGTCGTCGTTCACGGGATCAAAAAAAAAAGGAGGTCAAGACGCACGCCGCATGGTTATTCGCGTGTTTAAAAAAAAATGCCAAGCACCTAATGCGTACGCGGTACTGTTTTATTCGAGTTTGCCTTTAAAGCGATACGCTTTTAATCTCCCCAATAGAAATCCTTCCGTTTTCCTTATCGAACTAACGAATGGCGAATGATTTCAATGCTGAAGGGCCTTTCGATAAGTTTGGCAAAATTTCGTTGGAGCGATTGCGACCTCGAGATGAAGACGTTCACCGCGTATCCTTATTAACTTCTCACGTTTCGTTATCGCTTATAACACGTTTATAGAATTCGGTATCCAATTACTCGATTCGAATAACTGTCTTAAAGATTACCACCATCGTATTCGACGTCGAAAAGGAGCGTAAACCTCGACATTAGCTGTTATCCGAAAGAGCATCTAGCCAGATCGATTCCTGGGAATGTGCCAAGCCCTATGACCGACCGAGCCACCGAAAGAAAGAAAGAGAGAGAGAGCTTCATAATGCCTCTCGCAAAACCGGCCTCTTTCGGCAGCCATTCTTTATGCACCGAAATCAAAACGTCGTCTTGCATTTGCCAAGAGCGCGAGCGTCCCCCGCTATTAACGTAAGTACCGTTAAAAGTGCATTCCCGATATGATCGACGTTTCGTCGGACACGAGGACGATGCTTTTAAAATTTCTCCCTCCTGGAGAGATCCTTGGCCGTTCTGTCGACCTCGACGATGACGATTGTGTAGCATCGAACGAAACAAAACGTGGAGAGAGAGAGAATACCATAATTTTCACGGTTCAAGAAACCGGCTGGTGTGGCACGCCGATTCAAAGTTCATCGCGCGTTTGAGAAAAGTACCGGATGAGTTACTGAGCTTGGCGCAAGCCCTTTCTCTAGGATGCGATTAATCATTCGCCGTGGAAAGCACCTAACCAATTTCCTAATGATCCCAACGGATTACATTTTGGTCCTCCTACTAAAGAAACGTAGGGGAAAAATAAGAAAGATCTTTTATAAATGAAATAACTAAAAACACGTCCTAATATACACGAACCAATTATGCAAAGATGCGCGTTATCATTCGTGATACGTATCAGCGATGAGGCGGCAGAGAGAGAGAGGGAAATGAATGAAGAATGTTGAAGACCGCTAGGGAAGTCCTCTCTCTTTGCAAAACCAGACAAAGGAACCGATTGCGAAGCTCGACGTTTTCACGAAAGCAGACCAAGCGGAGGAGAACTTCTCCCGCTTCTTCTCTACCACCCTTTACCCCTTCTCTTGTTTGCGCGCGCGTCTACATTCTCTCTCTCTCTCTCTCTCTCTCTCTCTCCCCTCCCTTTTTTTCTCTCCTTTCCCTCTGTCTTTCTTTCCGGCAGCTCCATTCAATCCTACTCCGGCTGATGAAACCTTCCATTTTCACCCATCCATCCTTATTCCTTGGGTCTCTTTGAAATACCAGCGAAGGCACGTTCTTTTTGTCTCTTGCGCATGCACACACACATACACACAGACACACACACACATACAGGCAAGAAAACTTTTATGCCTAAGGTCTGCCGCAGATAAGTTGGCGTCTCTCTCTCTCTCCCTCCTTTTCTACGACCAAGACTAATAGCTGTCGCTTGAGCGGCCGATTTTCGACCATAAAACACTGATCATTTTTGGAAACTATATATTCTTAAAAGTTATCAATTGACAAGACGAGAAAATCTATCATAACGTTTGGCTCGAATTTTGAAATGTCGATAACTCTGCGTTTCGATATTAAAGATCCTTGTTATGCATATATACATAGAAACGAAGAGTCCATGTTGGAAACAATGCCGAGATTATAGCGAAAAAAGTGAGCGAATGGTCGGCGAACCTTTTGTCTCTACCGCGAGCTAATTGACTGGAAGCCTGTCTAGCAGCGGGTTTACCACCGAGATTCAGTCGGCTTGCATGCCCATAGAATCTTCCCTTCGAAGGACCGCAGTCATCTAACGTTTTTTTCCTGCTCTTTTTTGAATTCCTTCGCTACCGAAGGGTCCGCTCAGCCGCCTTCGTTGACTTTCATTCAGATCACGAATTTAGTGGGCTCTACTCCTCCTAAGGGAGTAACCTTAAAAGGTTTTCTAAGAAAATAGGACGATTTCTTCTAGACGCTCTTTTTCTCTTTCGATCCTTTCAAAGTGTTCTTTTCCCTAGGGAAAACAAAGGAACGATATTTTACACGATATGTTCGCGTTAGATGTGAAACGTTCAAGTATCGAATATTTTATCAATTCTGATAAAATCTCTCTCTCTCTCTCTCTCTCCCTCTTTCTCTCTCTCTCTTCTCATGATATTTGATTAAATGTCGAGAAAGATGGCCGACGGATGGCTCACGTAATCGGGACAACGCGAAAGCTTTCATTGGAATCTGCCGTTAGCAGTGCGTTAGCTACGATCCGGGTGGGTTTACGTCTACGACCTGTCACTAGCAATCCAACCATCTCGCGCTGCTTCGGTCATTTAGAATGGAATAAGCTTTGCAGGC